CGGAAATGAATTCCTTGTCCCAATTTTGCTATAGTTTGATGTATCACATGCAACTGTTATTCTAACTTGGGCCAAACTTAGCACATTAGTATACAAAGATATTTTCTTTTATTGCGCGCGCGCGCGGACATTTAAGCCTTTGGGGTTGAATTTTTTTAGCGCATATTTGTTTCAAGAGTGTCAGGAAAAATTTTCAAGTGCAATTAATGAAGTTAACATTGATTTACTGTCAAAAAAGTCGCATTTTTTCACAAAAAACGCGCGCGCGCGCGCACTTTTGCTCAGATTCCTTCAAAACCAAAAAAATGCACGTAATATACATAATTCTGAGTTTGCATGCAAAAAATTAGCCTCCTACGACAATTCTAAGTTATGTTTAAACACTGTTTAAATTTTCCGGAGAGTAATACGTTTTGTGGCCCCCCCCCCTTTTTTATGCCAATATGCAACATACTTTTATTCAAAATACTTGAATAAATATCTGAAAGTGTCGAAACTCGAAACATTACTTTTAATATCTAAAATTGACTTAAAATGGCGCAAACACTAGGGAGAAGGCTCTCCATGGAGGGAAGCCTCCATACGCATGACACCGAAACTACTGGTTTGCGGATTTTTCTATTCTTAAATCTTGTTAGTGGATTTCTTCCTTGACGAGGAAAATGATATTGGCTCCGCTACAAAATCTCATTTTTCGGAGATGCCGCTCTTGAAACGGAAGGTCATTATAAATTCCGTGGATAGTCCATTTAAACTATATTTTATTTGTTAGTATATGTGGGGAAGAGCAGCCAACTAGAGAGCTACTCAAGTTACATGATTGTAGTTCTATATTTACAAGAGAGTCAAGGAGTCAACTTCCGGTCAGGTCGGTCACTTAACATTTGATCCTGATCCTGATTCTGATCCTGGATCTATGAATCCTGATCCGGAATCATAAATCATGATCCTGATCCTTCATCTATGCTAAACTAGTCGGATACACTTCAAGACTTTACTTCTAAGATTACTATCATTAACCAAAAAGAATCAGATTTATTTTTGCTTTTTGAAACTTAACGGAAGAGCTGTTTAGTGTTAATAAATTGATATTGTATTTAGTTTTTCATGATTTTTATAAAACTTGATTTATTTTTCTAAATTGAATTCCAGAATGATTGGAAAATTTAATAGAAATGGTTTTTGCGTTAAGAAAATCTGCTAATTTAAAAAAAAAAAATTCTAGATCAAGTCGTCCATCTTGTCTGCGTGAAGATTCCCCCCCTGATTCCCCAGCTAAACCTCGACCAGCTAAACCATCAACATCATCTTCACGTGGTCAGATTACATCAGGTTCAAATATTTTATTTTGAAGAATTATCCGAAATCAGAACATTTCTCTTGTGAATCTATTGATCATGCATTAATCTCCAATCTCCATTTTATGCAGATTTACGGATAAATTTAATTCCTTTGATATCCCGTGACATGGTCATATTCAGCAGGAATAACTTAAAAGAATTAATCCAACATTATTCCTCAAATTTCAAAGTATCCACATTAAGCCTTTAAGATTAACAATATCCACACAAATGTTCGGATCGTAGGGATGATAAGTTTTGAATATTGGGGGGNAAAAATCTTTGGTTTATTTTGTACATCAACTGATACTTGTTCAACAAAAATCATTCTTTTCTTTTTAGAAAATTGTGTCATTTATTAACTGGAAGATTAATGGCGGATTACTATGGAATGATGGTTGATTTTTTATCATTATTATTATTTTAAAGAATTATTTATATTTTTTTCAGTAACTACCTTAGATAATGGTTATATTAGGTACTTATTGATTGTAATAAATTTCAGTAAAAGAGATTTTAATTCTTTTAAAATATTTTATTTTGCTGTAAAGGTATTAAAAAATATTTAGTCCGTTTTTTTCAAATTGAATCACATTCTACTTTTTTTACTTAAATATCAATAACAAATGAAACAGACAAATATTGAACGATAATTCTGATGATGATGATACTACAGAAGAAGAATTGGAAGTGGATAGAGAAGAGAAGAATCAAGGAGTACATGAAAATAAAGGAGAAAAGGAGAAAGATATTGAGAAAAGTAAGAACACCGCTTTGACGAAAAAATCCGGGAATATGACTGATGATATAAGCATTGATGTTGACAATGAAGAAGATGAAGAAGACTTTGACTACCAGAGTGATGACGATGTAGAAATTCAAAATATCCTTGATGACAATCCAGATTCTGAAAATCCGTCTGACAACGTTGACAACTCTGGTAAAGCTGAAAAAGATGATCAATTAACCAATGATGATCAGGATGATCCAGGCAATGATGATCTTGATGATCTATTAGACAATGAAGAAGAAGAAGAAGAAGAAGAAGAAGACAAGTTACCCGTTGAAAATTCAGGTGATGATCTAATACCAGTTCAGGAGTTAATGGAAGGTATTGAAGAGGAACCTAATACAAATAGTACCAATGAGGACAAAGCAGATCCTGAACCTCAACCTCAACCTAATGGATTGGAAGATGAAGATGATTTCGCCTGCTCTAAGTGCCCTAAAACCTTCAGCTCAGAGAAACGCCTAAAGGTGACCAATGACCATGTTATACACAGTTCGTAAATCTAAAGTCCTATATAAGTAATAAGTATGCTGTTTCCTAGTGTACTGCTTTGCAGCTTCTTAAATATACGTGTTTCCTAGCGTACTGTTTTATAAATATACACGTTTGTAAGTATACGGTTTCCTAGTGTACTGCTTCTTAAATATACGTGTTTCCTACTGTACTGTCTTCTAAATATGCACGTTTCTAAGTTTACTGTTTCCTAGTGAACTGTTTCTTAAATATACGTGTTTCCTAGCGTAATGTTTTCTAAATATACACGTTTGTAAGTATACGGTTTTCTAGTGTAATGCTTCTTAAATCTACGTGTTTCCTACCGTACTGGTTTTTTTAAATATGCACGTTTCTAAGTATGCTGTTTCCTAGTGAACTGCTTTTTAAATCTACGTGTTTCCTAGCGTACTGTTTTATAAATATACACGTTTCTAAGTATACTGTTTCCTAGTGAACTGCTCCTTAAATCTACATGTTTCCTAACGTACAGTTTTCTAAATATGTACGTTTCTAAGTATATTGTTTCCTAGTGAACTGTTTCTTAAATCTACGTGTTTCCTAACGTACTGTTTTCTAAATATACACGTTTTTAAGTATACTGTTTCCTAGTGAACTGCTCCTTAAATCTACGTGTTTCCTAGCGTACTGTTCTCTAAATATAAATGTTTCTAAGTATACTGTTTCCTAAATTTACACGTTTCTTAGCGAATATGGCAACCCCCCGTGATGTTTTTTATATCTCACCCTAACCTTAACTTATCAGACATAGTAGTAGGGTTTTTTTTCATAAGGACGGGACCGAAAATAAAGTATGGATATTATATCTCCGCCGAAGATAGAATTCTACAGAAATAAATTGATTGTTCCAGTCGCTGCGACTAGAAAATATAAAACATAAAGACTATTTTTTTATTTTCTTTTATAGGATTGATTTTTTAGACTCAAAAATAATATTTTATATTTTTTAATAAATGCCTTATATTTCAGGCACACAGGCAGTGTTCTAGCTGTAAGGTGTTTTGTATAGATCATAAACATAAAACCTGCGAGTCCTGTAATACTTGCTACAGTCAGGTAAAACTTTCTAGACATGTTATATCTAGAAATATATTTTTTTTATTTTGACCAAGATATTCCTTAAAGTACGTGTCTTGCATGACCGATTCACAATGGCTTTTTCTGAGCAATAGATAAGAAGATGTTCCTGTTAAGCTGTATGGAAAATGCTTCTTTATTTACAGTGGTTTCTCTTACTTCTGCAACAGTAACAATGGGGAAAATGTTCAGAACTGAAAACATTACTAGGCTAGAACAAAACCCGATGATATGTTCATAATTGTAATTAAGATACAGGTTTATGAAGCTTTTGATCCGTTCGATCCGCTACATTTTGGCTTTTTGGATCCGGATCTGTAAATATGCTGATCCGTGGATCCGGATTCAAGAGGCAAATTGTAAACCAAAAGCGGTAAAAAAAAACATAATCCCCTGATTTCAACCTGAGGTTGGAACTCTTGATCTTGAACGCTTGATCAGGATATCATAAGTGGGAATTCTTAAATTTGAGGATAAATCCTTCAATTAAAAAAAAACGGGACATGGACCGGACTTGAAGATCCAATCTTCTACTAGAGTCTAAGGTCATCCCTACAACCTGTGAATTGATTTAGCTCATCCCTGCAAGATATTGCCACCAGGGGATATTGAAGAGGAATTAAATTAAATCGTAGGTGTGCACATTGCACAAGATCGAGACGAATGCTGGATCATAAGATTCACTGGAAACCTTAAATCCCAACTGCTTAATCTGAACATCCAATGTGGAAGCTTTTAATTTCCTCCTTAATCCGCACTTTTTCTCACTTTTTAGATATTTGTACTTTGTTTGACCAATGAGAGTACATTCATGAAATGGCGCGCAAAAATTCAAATTTCCTGGCTTTTTTGATTGTCTGTTCAGGTTTCTCCAAACGCTATTCGATTGGTTGAGCTATATACACTTTTGTGAATACAAAATCAAGATTATATTAATCTTGAGATTAGGAAAAAAAGAAAGATCAAGCACTGATCTCGATATCAACAATTCTAGTCCTAGAAATATTTAAATATTTTATAGTATCTTTATTCCAGGGGGAATTCCATGTTCAGTGTGATGCGTATATGTGCAGGCAACCATGCTTCAAATCTAGGAAATTATTTATTCATTTTATTATTTTTTATTCTTTATTTATTCATTTATTTATTACTCACATTGGGACTCATGGACCTGATGATTTTTAGCGTCAAGTTTGTGACTCACATTGGACTCATGGAACTGATGATTTTTAGCTTCAAGTTTGTGACTCACATTGGGACTCATGGACCTGATGATTTTTAGCTTCAAGTTTGTGACTCACATTGGGACTCATGGACCTGATGAGTTTTAGCTTCTAGATTGTGGCTCACAATTTTCTATTTTCTAGTTATTTATTATGATTATTTTGAGATAATAAGATACTTTGTTGATATTTATTTTCTTCAGAAACTATTATTAATTAGAAAAATATAAGGAGTATTGGGTAGATAAAACATCAGAGCTTAGGATGTAATCCGCATTATTTTAGCTTCCTGGATCCGGATCCGAACAAATATAAGTAACCACGGATCTGTATCCAAGTGGCAAAATTCCATTTAAAGCAATAAAAAAACACATTAAATATTGAGCTCATCAACACCTTTCCAATCAATTAATGGTAAATCAAGTTTTTGATTACAGAGCAAGCCTTTTTGGTAATTTGTTTTTGACAAAAGAAATAGCAAAATTGGAAGAAATATTTATGAACTGTATCCTAATCCATTATTTACAGAACTGATCCGCATTAAAACAAAATTGAACCTAACTACTGTATAATGTTTGAATTTATATTAAGATGGAAACTTTTGGATAAATATTTAACTTAATCTCTCCCAGTAATCCAATCCGGTATCTACTGATGAAATTAATGTGAAAGGATTAGGATGCCATTTGTATCGAAATATAATGTTCAAATGATGAATTCCTTTCCATTAACCAACCCAATAATCAGAGGAGTGTAAGTCGGTATAGGTTAATCCTAAGCTCTATCCGTTCTGCGAAAAATGTCCACCCTTTTTGAATTTTTTTTTGACACTAATGCTTTGATTTAGCTAGAATTATTATACATAAATATAATGAATGATAAAAAATATATTTTATTTCTTCCAGATACGTTTATGATTGATTCTAAATTAATTGTTTATAAAATGGTTAAGAAAACCCGAAAAAAAATTGGAAAGAAATTGTCTGAAGGTAAATAGAAAATTAATTTGACAAACTAAAATTTATAACTCTTTAAAAAATCTTTTTCAATGAGATTTAGAATTAAATTTTTTAACATTTTGCATATAACATAATCATTGATCACTTGTTAACGGATTTTGATGATTTCAACGTTCCTGAATTCAGTGGTTCAATATGCCAAGTTCAACCTATTTTGAAAGAATTTATTTTTCGACTTAAAAACTTAAATTATTCTTAAACCTAACAATTTTATTAGCAAAAAAATTGCCCTTTCTGAATGTTCTAAGATCCAATTCTTCTCCTATTCTGAGTTAGCACAGCACAATTGTAAAAACCGATCCACTGATTCTTTCAATGATTCTATGTGAGTAGGGAGGGAAGGCCAAGAAGCCATGAACCCCGTGGAAAATCTCCGAACCCTGTGGAATGGTCTCCGAACCCCGTGGAGAGTCTCCGAACCCCGTGGAGGAGGTTTTTTGAAAAAAACGTTATCAAATATTAATATTACTTGTAAATTAGCAATAATTTTCCAATCTTCTCGACATATGGACTCAATAAATATAATAATCAAGTTAAAGAAATAATTTTCATTATTGTTTTAATTGTTCAAAAATCATGCGATTTCCCCCAGAATAACACATTTTTTGCTCCTTACAGGGTTCGGAGATTTTCCACGGGGTTCGGAGACTGTTTCTGCAGGGTTTCGGAGACTTTTCCACGGGGTTCATGGCTGCTTGGCCTTCCCTCCCTCATGTGAGAGGATCATTATATACTTTGAATGATTCTGTGCAAGAGGATCCGTATATACTTTGATTGATTCTATGAGAGAGGATCAGTATACACTTTCAATGATTCTATTTGAGAGGATCATTATATACTTTGAATGATTCTGTGTAAGAGGATCCGTATATACTTTGAATGATTCTATATGAGAGGATCAGTATACACTTTGAATGATTCTATGTGAGAGAATCTGTATACACTTTGAATGATTCTATATGAGAGGATCAGTATACACTTTGAATAATTCTATATGAGAGGATCAGTATATCCTATAATGCTTTATGGGAGAGGATCAGTATATACTTTGAATGATTCTATGTGAGAGGATCAGTATACACTTTAAATGCTTCTTCGTGATAAGATTAGTATATGTAAATGTTTCTAAATGAGAGGTTCAGTATAAATTCTATGTGAGAGGATCAGTATGCATTTTAGATTATTCTATATGAGGGGATCAGTATACAATTTAAATGATTTTATAGAGAGGATTAGTATATGTACTTTGATTGATTCTATGTAAGAGGATCAATACACTTTGAATGATTCTATGTGAGGGGATCAGTATATACTTTGAATGATCTTATGGGAGAGGATCAGTATACACTTTGAATGATTCTATGTGAGGGGATCAGTTTACACTTTGAATGATCTTATGGGAGAGGATCAGTATACACTTTGAATGATTCTATAGGAGAGGATCAGTATATACTTTGAATGATGCTATTTTAAGAGAATCAGTATACACTTTGAATGATTCTATTTTAAGAGGATCAGTATAAACTTTGAATGATTCTACTTTAAGAGGATCAGTATACACTTTGAATGAAGAGGGGAGGAAGGCCAGCCACAACAATTTCTCGTCCGAGCCACATTCTCCTCATTTTCTCGTCCGAGCCACCTTGGAATCTCATCGTCCTTCGATTATTTTGTGTTAAAAAGTTTCCAATTCTTGAAGATAAAACTATTTTTTTTAAATCTGGCCACGTTAGGACATAAAATATGGATAGACTGAAGTATTGCAATGATTATATCATGATGGAATCTTCAAACCCATGAGAATGATGTCAAACTTTATTTAGGTAAAACTTAAATCTCTTCTGCCTCCAAAGTGGCTAACCATCGAGATATAAAATAAATAGCAAAATATTCTGCATACCTCTGTCTATAATTTTCCCCATGGAACCACCCTGAAAAATTTCTATGGTTTTCACTATAATTAACAAAAAAGATTGAAGTTCTATAAACTTGGAATTATTTGCGGCATTCTACACCAGGAATATCTGAAAATGCGCTTAAAAAAGGTGAACATTTTAAAAGACATTAAACTTTAAATCTTTAATTCAATTGAAACTTTTTTTTCGATTTGCAAATATTTGATATTTCATTTATGCCCTAACGTGGCCCGATACTTTAAAAATAGTTTTATCTCGGAGGATTAGACTCTTGAAAAAAATAATATTGAACGGACGAGGATTTCGAGGTGGTTCGGACGAGAAAATGAGGAGAATGTGGATATGAATGATTTTATTTTAAGAGGATCAGTTTACACTTTGAATAATTCTATTGAAGAGGATCAGTATACACTTTGAATAATTCTATTTTAAGAGGATCAGTGTACACTTTGAATGATTCTATTTTAAGAGGATCAGTATACACTTTGAATGATTCTATATTAAGAGGATCAGTATACACTTTGAATGATTCTATATTAAGCGGATCAGTATACACTTTGATTGATTCTATTTTAAGAGGATCAGTGTACACTTTGAATGATTCTACTTTAAGCGGATCAGTTTACACTTTGATTGATTCTATTTTAAGAGGATCAGTGTACACTTTGAATGATTCTACTTTAAGCGGATCAGTTTACACTTTGATTGATTCTATTTTAAGAGGATCATTGTACACTTTGACTATTTTAAGAGGATCAGTGTACACTTTGAATGATTCTATTTTAAGAGGATCAGTATACACTTTGAATGATTCTAGAGGATCAGTGTACACTTTGATTGATTCTTTACGTGGGCCCAAACTTGATGGTCCACGGCCTTAAATAATAAAGAGCTAAACACTAAAGGAAGAAAGGATACTCCCAAATTAGATTAATTATTAGTAATATGCATAGAAGTTTGGGAAGTGGTACACGAGGTACACTACTTACTATTGAAATAGTAGCCCAGTTACTAGAAAGAATCACTGGTATAGTATGTAGTACATTTTTAACACTTGCCTGGTGAGCGGTAAATGGCACCTTGAAGATAGTTTGCAGGTTCCCTTTTTGGGTTCCTTTTAAATTCAATCTGATAGATGGAGGCTCACTTGAAATATTGTCTGCAGTCCCTTTATGTAAGGTAATTACATATTCTTAAAACAATAGCTTTTAGAAGTAGAGTAGTTAAGACAGATATATATATATTTATCATTTATATTTGTCTAAAGCAAAATTACATCAAACAAAAACTCTTTTCTCTGGATATCGCATTTTATAATTGACAGGGTTTGCCAAAAAACAGGTGCCATACAAGACTTTTAGCATGAGTATAGTTTAGCTATTCAGAGGTGGGTTTCAGGAAAGGGGTTTCTTGGTCCCAGTCTAGTGTTTTTCGTTTTCTAAAAATGTGGTATGATGACAGTACTGCAAGGCTTGATAGATTTTCACACATTGCTTTGAAACTAACACTGGGTTTGCAGAACTTATGCAGTTTCTTTAGAATCGCCTTATTTGATGGTGAGATATATGCTCTTGAGCCGATTTCAAAAGGATGGACACACATCCCTAGTTATATCTGTGATAAAATGTTCATACTTGTTCATCTTTTGAGCGTTGGCATTTTTGATATTTGTTTCCAATGGGACAGTAAGCTCAATAATATCCATGTTTTCCTCCATTCTATCGATAATTGCTAGATCTGGTTTCTCTGCGGTCCACAAGAGGTGGGGGGGAACAGTACCTCCCCCTGGAAGGGTATGGGACGGGATATCAGCATACATCAGAAATCGGTCAATATTAATTAATCCAGTAATATATTTAATAAGATTGTTGTGCCTCCAAGTATATCTTTTTTGGTGTAGTGCAACCTTGCAGCCATTCAAAATATGTTTTGTAGTAGATATAACATTTATTATAGCAATATATTTGTAGGTAATAAACAGGAGAACCTGTTGATCCGATGCAGGTTTGAGAACTACTGGATTTACACCAGCATATATCTTTATCTCCTTTTCCTTCTATATCTTCTATATCTTATCTATATCTTTTCTCCTTTTCCTTCTAGGATTACTACTTGCATTTAAGGAGAAAATAGATCCTCTTCAAGCTGATTTAGGATTGGGGTCCAGTATTCCTTCTCTACCCCCACCCTTGTTATTTTGGTTCATTTTACATTAGACTGGAATCAAAAATTTGACGCGTTTTCCCTAAAAATTATAAAACAAAATTCTTGGCGCTTTGTGCCAGATATTTTCAAAATTAACCTAAATTTTATCTTTTCATGCTTCATGCAGTCTTCCTGCAATCAAAAAAGGGCCTGCCTTAATACTTGTTTCCCGTCTGGCTTAGATCACCACAAACATTAATCGATGAATCAATGACAATTTGGTTTTGATTTGATCTGAGAATCTGAAAATATTTATGAATTTCAGGATTGATGAAGGATCTATTTGGAACTGACGAATCTGAAGATGAAGTAAGTTTCGAGATCAGACATAACTAACATTTTGAAATGAAAGCATGTTTTTAATCTCTGAATATTAGAGAATATTTGTTTTGTCATGAATTAGAATCAGCTTTTATAATATGTATACTTCTATCATCAAATACAAATGAATTTATAATAAAAATTAATTGAATTGAAATTTGTAAAATGAAGTTTTCTGCGATTGTATTTGATAAAAAAAATGATTTGTTTAAACTTTCTTTCAGATTGTTGGAAACAATAATTCATCACCCTGTTCTAACAAATCTCTGCTTAAACAGAAAACGAAAAGTTTTAACAAAAGGTAATAGAACTGTTCACAACAAGGACTTTTAAAAAGATGGCAATGCCCGATTCACAGCAGTACCCTCAAAACCATTATCTTATCATTAATGTGGAAGATTGTCTTTTTTTGTTTAAAAGTGTTCAATTATGATAATTTCTATATGTTGTCCTGTAGTAGAAATGCGCTAATCACTTTAGTAGAGAAATCACAATTATAAACCTTGCTTTCTTATTTATACTTGATCAAACGAAGAAAAAAGCTTCTACGAGTGATGTACTTACATTTGGTGTTTAGGTCGCTTCAGGGTAAAAAGTTCAAGGTATATTGTAATTATTGTAATGGCAGCAAATGTTTTTAAAAACTTTTATTCCAAACGTTTGCCTTTCTTAAAGTATGTACAATTTTTACCCTGGAAAAAGGTATATGGAAAAAAGACCTGAAAGCGATGTAAAAACAATGTAAAAACGATGTAAAATCAATGTAAAATCAATGTTAAAACGATGTAAAAACGATGTAAAATCAATGTAAAACAATGTAAAAACGATGTAAAATCAATGTAAAATCAATGTAAAAACGATGTAAAAACAATGTAAAAACGAGGTAAAAACGATGTAATAACGAGGTAAAAACAATGCAAAAACGAAATAAAAACGAAGTAAAAACTATGTAAAAACGAGGTAAAAACGATGTAAAATCAATGTAAAATCAATGTAAAAACGATGTAAAAAACAATGTAAAAACGAAGTAAAAACTATGTAAATACGAGGTAAAAACGAGGTAAAACGATGTAAAATCAACGTAAAATCAATGTAAAAACGATGTAAAAACGAAGTAAAAACGAAGTAAAAACGATGTAAAAACGAGGTAAAAACTAGGTAAAAACGATGTAAAATCAATGTAAAAACGATGTAAAAACAATGTAAAATTAATGTGAAAACGATGTAAAATCAATGTAAAAACGATGTAAGAACGAGGTAAAAACGAAGTAAAAACGATGTAAAATTAATTTAAAAACAATGTTAAAACGATATAAAAACGAGGTAAAAACGATGTAAAATCAATGTAAAATCAATGTAAAATCAATGTAAAAACAATGTAAAAACGATGTAAAGACGATGTAAAAACGATGTAAAAACGGGCATATTGTTCGGATTGTTTTAAACTCGTTTTATCAAGTTTTTTGGAGATCAAAGATATTGCAAACCATCATATAGTTTTAAAATTTTGTAAGTTTTATTGAACATGAACATGGAAATATTTACTGTAGGGAAGCCAAGAAAACCGTGATTAACCCTGTTCAAGAGATTCAAATCCTTGCTGTTAACAAGAGTTCTAAAAGTCCATTAAGGCCAAGTAGTTATGCACAAAACCCACAGGTAAAATTAAGAAGACTTATTAAGATTTTTAAGGACACATTTAATTTTTGTTTCGAACATTTCCAATATACTTTTACACAATAATCATTTCAATACAACATATATCTCCATTTTCTTATTATGACTTTGAAAGGACTAAACTTTCGTGAAAGCAAGGAATAGCATGGAATATGGGATATCAAAATATCAAGAAAATATTATTTGAAGTGTAATACAGAGGTCAACACAACGCTTGATGTTATTTTACAGTTTTAATTCCCTCAATGTTAGCTTTCCTTGCAGTTTTGACCTCCGATGTATTTTTTTCAAATTTTAAAATAATTTTTGAAAATTATCTTTAACTATTTATCAATGCTGAAATGCATGGCAAATATTATGGTATTTAGATAGATACATGTATCTGTGTATACAGAACAAGTTTACAATTACAAATTGATAATTATTTTAACACTACAATTAGGTTAAACTTTTTTGATTATGTTTTTCACCTAACTTCAATAATGATAACAAAACATTTCAATTAAATAGATTTAAGGATAACTATTAGAGATCAGGGTGCGATTTTATCTTATGCAAAATAGTTTATTTAGTTATAGAATAACTAGATTTTGAAATAATTTTCTGACATGTACAAAACAAACATCAAAACATAGTAAAACATATTTTATTAGTTTAACATGAATAACAATTCGGTTTTTAACAAATTGTTATGTAATTTTCAAAAAAGAGGTATTTTTAAATATACTTAGAAAGTTGCTTCTTTTTAAGTCAGGAGTCAGATTATTCTATATCTTAAGAAGAGAGCTTGATGATAAATACTGAAATAAGCTCATATTGAGAATATCAAGTTGGTAGTTAAGAGAGCTTTCCAAGGTTCCAAGCTTTTTAAAAATGTTTCCAAGAGAGGAAGGAAGAAGTTTATATGTATATTTAAGCATGAATACAGCTTGGTTAAAGTCTACGAGATCATTAACCTGTATGTATAATCTTTTACGGAGGAACATATATAATATATTATATTAATTGTGTTTACAAATATGATGAAAAATTGGGGGAAAAAAACTATTTTTTTTAGTCTGAAACTCTCCCTTCATCAGAATCTGGTTCTAAGAAGGATGAATTCAAGTATTTATCGTACAAACTGGTCAAATCTAGTAAACGTCAGTTAACCCAGGATCTATTTGATTCGTCCTGTTCATCCGAGCTAGAACCAACCACCCAGAAACCTTGGAGGAGGACAAAAAAGGAACACGCTGATCCAAGTGGTTCGAAAAAAGGAGGAGAACACGCTAATCCAAGTGGTCCAAGAAAAGTAGGAGAACATGCTAATCCAAGTGGTACAAAAAAAGTAGAACACGCTAATCCAAGTGGTACAAAAAAAGTAGGAGAACACGCTAATCCTAGTGGCCCAAGAAAAGAAGGAGAGCACGCTAATCCAAGTGGCCCAAGAAAAGAAGGAGAACACGCTAATCCAAGTGGCCCAAGAAAAGAAGGAGAACACGCTAATCCAAGTGGCCCAAGAAAAGAAGGAGAACGCACTAAAACAAGTGGTTTTATAAAAGTAGGAGAACACGCTAGTTCAAGTGGTCCAAGAAAATTAGGAGATCACGCTAATTCAAATGGTCCGAGTAAAGGAAGAGAACACACTATTCCAAGTGGTCTTAGAAAAGAAGGAGAACACGCTAATCCAAGGGGTCCGAGAAAAGTAAGAGAAAAAGACTGTCCAGGTTCAAATGGTCCAGGAAAAGTAAAAGAACATCATCATTCGAATGGATTTAAGTCTGAAAAATCAACGATGGGATCAGTCAAAAATAAGAAAATTAAGGTTCCTTCCAATGATATCCCTCAAAAGTTTTCAATTTTCGGAAATGAAAAATCATCTTTGAAAGTAAACTGTTCAGTAAGTGAAGACTCCAAAAAGAACATTACTAAATCATCCATGAAGAAGTACAAAAATGCTATTCTTAAACCCTCACCCCAGTCCCGGTCAGATTCAGCGACCAAGGCTGAATTTAGTTTCTCAATCGCCGACAAGGAAATCTATGCTGAGAGAAAAAAGACAAAGAAGATCCTGGAGTTAAAAACGGAGAGTATTGAACCTAAACTCGGCTCGAGCGTGTTCGAATATATCGAGGATGAAGAAACCGCTAAAATAAGAAAAAAGTTGGAAAAACAAGCTCTCAACAAAGAAATCAAAGCACGACTCAAACAAAAAGAAAGAAAATCGAACTCAAAATCTCTTTTGCACAACACTGATCGTTCCTCTCAATCTGAAGCAGAAGAATCAAATCCAACTCCCGCCAAAAAATCCCGGAAAAGTAAAGCTAAACCCCGCGAGAAAACACAAGAAAAAAGTGACACTTTGGATTCCAAGTTCATTGATGAAATGTTTCAGCTAATAGGATCTCCTTCTGGATCCGACCCAGGATGGGGTATATATATAATTCTAAAGATATTTTTAAAGAAAAAAATTTTTTTTGTTGATTTGTTGTTTTTCCTTTAAAAATACTTCAAAAGATGATATATACCATGTGACTAGACGATATTGAGCACGAGTTTGATGCTAACCTAGAGGAGGATATCAGGAAGATTGATGAATATCTTGAGGGAGGGCAATGGAATAGTTAACAATAAAAGTGATCTCTCATTAAAAGTGCAGTGGCCCCCCCCTCCACCCACCCTTCCTTCTTTAAAAGGACAGCCTCCCGTGACAATCTTTCTTAAAGGGACTGTACGTGTAATTTCAAGTGACCCTCCATGCATAGAACCGGAACCGTCCTGTCATGTAGTTTCTCTGCGAACTTGACTTGCGCATTACTTGGTTATTAGAAGCAATGGAGAAACTCACAGAATAGTCAGAAAAACGATTGTAACTTCCACACTTATGAACAGAGTAAGGTTTCAAAGGTAGCGTTGGAAATTGGGCATTGTCATCTTTGCGCGAAGGGTCACTTACAATTACGCGTACAGTCCCTTCAACCTAACCAGGAATACTATATACTGGGGAGGTTGTCCTGTTTCAGATGGAGGAGGAGGTGTCCCACTAATAATGGTAACTGCAAGATGACTTTTAGATTTAAAGCAGCCAACGTTTATAAGTTACCAAGTCTATAATGGGAATATTCGGATTCTTTCTGTAGTTGTTTTTCTATGACAAAAAAAGTTTTTTTTAATTTTTTTTTTTTAAACTTATATAAAAAATGTTAAAATTTTATTATTTTTTATTAGTTTAATTATATCACTATGATGGACTTAGTAAAAATTATAAATAGTATTACTATCTCCTCGGCATGAAGGCTGCAAGGGTTGAGGAGGTGGAGTACCAGAAATATCTCCTGGAAAATACTGGGTTTAGGAATAGGCTGGAGACGGAGCTAACCGAACCTGTTCTTAGAAAACTATTTAACAAGAACTTACAGTTCTTCAAGGTAATCTAAACATATATAGAGTTGCTTGTCAGATTCACAAGTTTTGTCTGGATCCATAATCTTTTCTAAAAATAGTATTATTTGATGCTTATATTATTTTATTTTAAGAAAGCCAATGGACGAAATTGTCAGAATTTAACACTTTTTAAAAACCAGAAAAAAAGACGATAGCTTCCACATTAATGGCTTAAAGAGTACCCTGGTGAATCGGGCATGTCCATCTTGAAATAGAAGGTCAAAATCGCAATGACACCATCGTTCACGAAAAATTTTGTGTGCTCTGACAAATTTCGTTCATTCACAAAAGCGATGCTCAGATCTCGAATGATAAGCCAGGAGCTGCAGACCAGAGCAGTAAAGATTGGGATATATTGTTCCAACCAATCCTGTCCTGTCCTAGTGACTTGTAATTTTACTGAATATCCAGAAAATCTCCGTAATATTCAGGATATTTGGTCTGGGAAGGGTAAGAGTGTCCGACACGACCAGTATGCCCGGGGAGGTGCAGACAGACAGGAGTTAAGGTTTAGTATGATTACAGATCCGTACACGGAGCTACAGCTGGATTGGGTTCTAGACGAGATTTCTAAGGTTAGGTTTAGTCATGCCTTATAACGGAACTGCAGATATAATTTAATGTGACCCTTCATATCGATTCACACCGATAATCTTATAATCTTTTTCGGATTCAAGAAGGAGTGAGATATCCTAATATTTTTAATAATTCTTAATTTCAATTTCTTCCTGCAAAATATAATTCAATGTGACCCTTTATTTATAGAGAAGCAAGTCCGATTTACAACAGTACCCATTAAATGTTTTTCAGATTAGTGGATGAATGAGATATCCTTTTATTTTTAGCTGAAAATAGATTGGATCCCTTCAAATTGCGTCTACAGTCCCTTTCAATAGATATAGAATTTATTCTAATTGTGACTAAGCGCTATCCTATCAATAAGTTTTAACTTCCAGAATTTGTTTTCCTCATAGATTAATAACAACACAGATAGAACACTAGATGTCGTATTTTCCAGATTGAAGGGTTTTTCGTTCACAATAAGCCCCTCTTAACTTTGAAAAGGCGACATCTATTTTGTTATTAATCTATGTCCTCACCACTATTTCTTTACTCAGGTTTGGATGCGGAATGCGGAGGAGAGAAGGGATAACAACGATTATGTTTGGAAGGTTCTGCTCCCGGAGGTTTTTATCAAGCTCTATATGGATCACTTCTCTATGGAGAAGGGTGAGGCGGAGAAACGAATCCGGAATACTCCACTCCGTGAGGAAGACGACTTTTGATGAATCAGCAAATCAAAGCTGCGTGATCTCGGTACAGGGTTTTTAATCAAATCTCAGCTCTTTTTAAGAATCGCCTGATACAATAAATGTTTATTTTTCTGTTATTTTATCTTTGTTTTTTTACAGTGTTGTTGTTTAATGTTTATTTATGTATATGTCTTATCATATTTCCTAAATGAAAAATTACAGGTTTCAATAACACAAAAATGTAGTAAACTTTATTCGCATTGCCTCGTCAGAGTTTTACGCTTAAATTGCACAGTTTAAGCAAATATTTGCGTTTAATTTGCATTGCAATGAATTTTTCCCATCGAATGGCTTTTTCATTTTTTCTGTTAACTTCTGTATTTTAAAAATTTCGTCTTCGTTTTCGAAATTTTCTTTGGACCTCGTATTTATAAACAAAGTCGTCTTTGTTTTCAATTTTATTGGTGGACAACTGTTTTTAAATGTCGTCTTCGTTATATTTCTTTAAAATGTCTTCTTCATTTTATGTTTTTTCCTGCAAACCAATGACGTCATAGTTTTCAATTATTTTTTTGCGGACCACTGTTTTAAAAAAATATCGTCTTCGTCTTCCATTTATTATTCTTTGAACTACTATTTTTTAATAAATGTTTGTTTCGGCGGACAACTGTACTTCTTAACAAAAAAACCATACCATAACAATCAATGACGACATGATGATCTGAAAGAACGGCAGTCCCCAGAACAAAATTATAACTGCAGAAGTTACCAATGGCTCCCTATATTTTCCATGAGTTACTGCGAACTACAGTATTTTTTAACAAATGTTTTCTTCGTTTCCACATTTCTCTGTGAACCACTGTATTTTTATTTTGTTCTTACTTTTTAATTTTACTTTTTGATTTTTTAATTAAAAGTTCATATTGTTTTTAAATTAAGATTATCATAAAATTTTTAGTTTTTTGTGAAACCCTATTTATCCTGAGGGGGAGGGGTCAATTTGTCGTGTTTTTTTTGCGAAAACTCGAAAAGTATTTGAGCTAGGAAGCTCAAATTTTCTGACTTTTCTTGCAAATATAATTGCACATTTGAATTCAGCGTCTAGGGCTTTTCAAAATGTATAATTTGTCGCATTTTGCGCAATTTTATTTTTTGCACTTTTATTGCTTAAATAAAATAAAAATAAAGGTGGGGGGCACAATTTGACCCCCCCCCCCTGAGGAAACCAGTCATGAAATCGGACGTCAGGATAAATAGGGTTAATATAGACAAACAAAGTGGGGGTCAGCCTGTCAGGTTAATGTTTATTTTAAGATAAGAATCCATATAAAATATCCGAACTACTTTCACCTTGTCAGAACTGCACAATGCTCAAAGCTTTGATTTTCCTGGCTCTTCTTTTCAATTCAACATCAGCAGAAGGTAATTCGATTTTTATAAAGGGTTTTTAAAACAACGTATTTTTTACCCATCTGGAAAAAATTGTAAATTTGATAAAATATAGTTTCCAGATGTTTAAGGGTAATAGTGCTGGCTTATTTCACATTCAACTTTATCTTAAAAAGTTTGTTGGTTCTTTTTTTATTTCTATTTTTGGGTTTTCTCAGATTATTCATTCAATACGAAGTATAGTAGGGTTTCCAATCGGAACTCCGTTGCACGGAATTGCACGCAATTGTTATCGAATTGCGTGGAATTTACAGGACTCACAATAACGTCCAAGTAAAATCCACTTGCGTTGGAAACCCTAGTTTTCAGCAATTGTGGAAAAGCTAAAAAGAATTCGCTATCAAGAAAATGCACCATTTTAATGAGTCTGGAGGTGCGGACCATAGGCAATGTAATTCAAGGATGTATTGTTTGAACCGATCCCCTTCCAACTTTAGGATTAAATTCTAGTCACTTTTACTCTTTAGTAGATTGTTCTTTTAAACCTTTTCATAACTTCCCAAAGCAGTATCTGCAAGAGGGAGTCCATTGAAAAAATATCTCCATTATCTTAATTTTAGATGGAGCTAGCCAGGACTGGATGTTTGACTTTGCAAAGGCAAGAATCCCTTTATTAAGGTTTGATGGAAGCGCCAAAGGACACTGTTTTCCGGACTTAGCATCAGATCAAAGCAATGGTATATGCAGAGAATTCAATGAGTTTGCTCCCCTTTATTATGACTTTGTGGAATGTGGAGATTATGCCAAGTTGGTTTGGTGGATTTGGTATGGTTGGCAGGGGGAGTGTATTTTGGGTGGTGGAAGTCATGACAATGATTGGGAGCACATCACTGTCAACTTTATCAAGAACAGCGGCTCTTGGGAGCAGGACTCAGTCACGTGGTTTCAACACAGTGGCTGGTATACGAGAGACGTAAAGGACACCCATCCTAATATTTATGTTGGAAAGAATGCTCATGGTAGCTATGACAACTGGTGTGATGGAGTAGGATTTATCTGGGAGCAGGATTATTGTCAAGGAGGCTGTCTATACTGGGATGATTACAGGAATGACAATGCTAACACTAGATGGACCCCTACTAACATACGCCATGTGTCAACAGTTAAAGGAGATGTCGCTAAGAGAATCACTGGTGTCAAGTACTTCAATGATGAAAAGCTTCATAGCTGTATTGGTGATGATATCAGATGTGCTTCTACAAGTCCTTGTGGTTGCTGGAGGAATAATCATAAGTTCCCAGCTCCAGTTTGTAATGTTTAAAATTGAAGAAATATGTGATAATTTTAATTAAAGTATGTATTTATTGGCCAATAAATGAATTGAAATGCATCAGTTAATTATGTAGATTTCACTATTAATTATTACATATATATACATATTGTACAAACAAATTCTGACTAATCTCAACTATATACTTTGCTTGTCTGTTTATCATTCTCTTTGTATGTATCCAATAAACTTCAAAACGGCCGAACCGATTGGGCCCACGTTTTGTGTGGGTGTATTGATGCTCAAAAGTGTAAAGAAGTGTCTACAAAAAGTCATATTGATATTGTTTAATACATTTTGTTAAAAAAGTGGCATATGCCGGGGAGTCCAGAAGTGAAGCCATTTCATTCAATTTAGCAGATTAAAAATCACTGGCAATGTGAATTCAATATTGAATTCAGAATTTTGTTATCAAAATTAAAACTAAATTAGAATATTTGTAAACTATTACGCGATTTATACAATCTTAAAATTAACAGTGTAAACTCAAAAAAAAATTAGACCGTTAATATAATGCACATTCAAAAAAGTTAAATTAACCCAGCCCCAGGGAGAATTTTTTTGTCATAATAATGATGTTTGTAAGAACAGGAAAGCAAAATCGAATATAAGAATGTGACACAAGAACAGGATCTGATAGTTCACAGATGTTGAAACAGAGAGAAAACATCCTGTAATGATTGTGTCTACTATCAACTGTGTTATCAAATTTATATATTTATATTGCTGACAAAAAATGCACTTTATTTGATGCAAAGATCTGCATTAGTGGGTTGGTTTTGGGAAGATCAAATAAGCTATGATTTCGAGTTTTGAATTTTTATGAGCCAGCTGTGAGCCATGAAGAGCCGGGAGCTGACGACCACAGCAGTGTTGATCAGGATGTATTGTTCGAGCCGATTCTGTCCACCTGTCACTATTTACTTAAAGTAATAGTATTCATACAAAACAAAGAACAAATCATGAGGTGCACTTTAAAGTCAAGTTTGTGCAGTAATTAAACAAAGAATTTTATTATCAGTTTTCTTTTCGTTCATTCATCTTTCGTGAACAACTCATTTCATTAATTTTTTTCAATTATTTAAAAAATTTGATTTCCTTCGTATTCAAAAGTATTGTTCATTTTCCATCTATTTTGTTCATTTTTTCACTGTATATATGATCGTTCAGTAAAATCGTTTGTTCAGTATAGTTGTTTGTTCAGTGAAATCATTTGTTCAATAAGATAGTTTGTTCAGTATTTAAAACAGTCGCTTTTTCAAAAGTTTGTTCAAAAAATCATTATTTCAGTAAAAAAACTATCGTTTTTTAAAATAGTTGGTTCATTCAGTAAAAAAACTTTGTTTTTTTTAAATCTTTTTAAATCATTATTTTTTTTCATTAAATTTAAAAGTTGTTCGTTCATAGTTTTGTTCACGAAAAATTTCGTTTGATCTCAAAAATGGTGTTTGTTCACAAAAAAATCTTCAATCATTCATGAACTAATAAACAACAGAAATAGAATGGAAAATAAAATTTTTATTATTGATATTTACATTGAGAGATAAGTTAGAAATGACTACATTTAATCAAAGAATTCTGATATTTGAAAAATTCTTCATTTCAGAGCAGAGGTAAAAAAACGAAAACACAAGTATAAGCTAGACTTGGTCTACAGCTAAAACCAATCTGATTGGTTTTAATTATACTTTAATCTTAAAAAACTGGGAGTTTATTAAAGTTAAAGATTTTGATAAAATTTTATCAAAATTTTTGTATTCTACATATTAAAATATTTTAGTAGCAACAATGAATATATCCAAAAATGGCACCACAATCAAAATATTAAATTTCTTTTCAAGTTTGAATTTTTTAAATGTACAAATCTGAAGCGAATGGAATGCCAATTTATTCAAGTTAAAAGTGTAAAATAAAGATGATAATAAACAGCACTGTTGCAAGGAAAAGTACATATTTCACAACAGTATTGATTCTCCACTTGTTGTTACCATTCTAAAAATAATAAGGTTCATATTAGATCAAGTTTTTATCATTTACCAATTCCTAAATGTTTATGAAATAATGAATATTGCTCTAACAGCTGATCAGTGTTGTCCTCTAAAAGATCTCTTTTTGTAATCATTAAAGTCTTTTTTACAAAAGATTAAAATAATTATTTTCCTAGCATTGCAGTTTTCCCTTTATTAAATATTTCCCACCGCTACACTTCAATAGATATTGCTCCTTGGAAACACTTTCATTTGCAATCAACTCAGATGCATTTAAATCAATAGCAATCAAATCAGTTGCAATCAAATCAAGTGCAATCAAAATCAGTCGGAAGAAAAATTAGTTGCAATCAAACCAGTCGCAATCAAATCAGATGTTATCAATTTTTGAATATTGCTCTAAGAGCTGTTTACCTTAACGGATGTTGCTCTAAGAGATGTTTACCTTGAAGGGATATTGCTCTAAGAGCTGTTTACCTTGAAGAGATATTGCTCTAAGAGCTGCTTACCTTGAAGGGATATTGCTCTAAGAGATGTTTTCCTTGAAGTGATATTGCTCTAAGAGCTGTTTACCTTGAAGGGATATTCCGCTAAGAGCTACTTACCTTGAAGGGATATTGCACTATAAGATGTTTACCTTGAAGTGATATTGCTCTAAGAGCTGTTTTCCTTGAAGTGATATTGCTCTAAGAGCTGTTTACCTTGAAGTGATATTGCTCTAAGAGCTGTTTTCCTTGAAGTGATATTGCTCTAAGAGCTGTTTACCTTGAAGTGATATTGCTCTAAGAGCTGTTTTCCTTGAAGTGATATTGCTCTAAGAGCTGTTTACCTTGAAGGGATATTGCTCTAAGAGCACATGAAAGATGATGATCAGAAAGGTGCTGTATGGATACAACAATAATATAGATCAACGGTTTAGTGTCTTTAAAAAAGATAAATGTTTTTTTTAAGTTGTCCCAATAAACATGGAAATGAAGACTTTTAGTCTTGAAACAGGTCTGCTTTTACTATTATTTTGTGAAAGTGATAACAGTAATGTTCCATTTTCAGCAACTGTTCGCATTGGGATTTGTTAAACGTGGTCTGCCATTTGATTTTAACATTAACAAGTCTGTCTATTCTAAATCTAAAGTCGGGGTCTAGCAGGAAATGTGTTAAATTCTGTTTTCTTTATTTTCATTATTACATTATCAATATATATAAAGTAGTAAGCTCTGTCTGTCTGTTTATATTTCCAATCCTGAGCTGATATTGGTTAATTCCAAAGAGCTTTCTACCGTCTTTGGTTAATTCAAAATAATTATTAACCACGTTAATGTTCTTATATACAGTGATAACCAGAAAACTCTGAAATAGAAAGACGACTTTTAAGCTCAAGTTAGGACTTTAAATAGTCCGATCAGACAGCAATTGTGCAGTGTAAACAGACCCATTTCACTTAATTAGTGATACCATATGTTTCAAGTAAAGCTATTTGCTTTGTAACACCATCAAATACACTTAAGTATTGCTATAAAGTCGTCTTCCTATTTCAGAGTTTTCTGGTTATCACTGTAGCTTGGTTTAAAAGTTCTACATAGAGTTGGTTGACTCTTATAGATTAAGTTTAGTGTGCAGGCAAAGATGGGTTCCCAATTAATTAGACATCTTGTGTATCCCTGAGTATAAGCCAACCAAACCAAAGATCAATCATCATGAAGTCAGCTGTGCTGGGAATATTATTCTGCAAAGAAGATGATAATTCAAATATTATCTAGTATATTATGATATTATTATTCAAGATTAGTTTACCCTAGAGCTGAGTATTGTATGGCAAATTTTTTGAAAATTAGCAACAGAAGATTCTGTCATAACAAACAACAAAAAAACATTCATTTTGAAATTTGAAAGTAAAAAAACAGATGTGTTAAAAAATACTTTCGTAAACTTTTTATGTTATTGAATGTTGCCTTCTAATCTGATCGTTAACTGCATGATAACTCCTAGCGCCGTTAACAATTTCTAGAATGTGTACCATAAACAGTCCATTCACAGTCCTATATAGAGTAGCTGCTTCTCAATTTAATAGATCTGTGTATAAGCTACTCTTCATAGTACTGGTGAATATATGCGTTCTCCTTAGGGTTTCCAAATTTTCCTACAATCTCTTTCGCGAAATTTTGTTCAGCCAACTAAAATGTGAACGAAGATGAAAATTTTCGGTAAATATTTTCCGTGAAGTTCGTTTAAATTTTCGACTTTTCGTTATAAATCTTTTTCTTCGCAAAAATTTTCACCATCCCATTTTTGCGAAATGTTAACTTTCACCAATATTTTAATTTTCGTTAAAACCTTTTGTTTAACCTTATCACTGCTAGGGGGGGGAGGGGGGTGTTTTCCACCACCACTAGTGTGGTTTTTTCTAAATAACTTACATTAAAACGCTTAAACTTTTTCACTTTTTCAACATTATTTGTGAACAAATTTTTTTTATGCATAAAGTAAGGGGTCGGATCAGTTTTAGTTTAACAAGAAATCTGGGATTTCATATACCTAATTTATTCATTATCAAAGATTTCGAACTATTTACTAATACACGAGAAACAACAAAAAGGAGGGGTTGCAATAAATTGTAAAAAAACTTGAATCCAAAATTAATACCTAGCTGCGTTAGGCAAAACACTTTCAATCTTGAGTCAATCATTAATCAATGGATTTTCTTAAATATTGGAAAAAAATTCTGAATAAAAGAATACTTTCAAATTTTCATTTCTCACAATAATAGCTTTATTAAAACAAATCAATTTGGCTTTTAACCATAACGTAATGTTATGCAAGCACTCATTAAACTTTTAAACTATATTTTCAGCGCACTAAATAATAATGAATCTGTGCTATTGTACTATATCAGAGAAATCTAATTATTCTCTACTCATAAGGACTAAAATAAGTTCATTCCGATCAGATATCAAAGGAAAAATGAAAGGGGGTATAGGCTGAAAGCTAATCACTTTAGCTCTTGATCGCAACCCATGAAAGTTTTATCATATGTTCCTGTCTCGAGAAATATGATATAAAACTGTGTAAAAATTATACGAAAATTCATATATGTAAAATTTTGAAAATCCAAAACTTAAATCACATGACCGGAACTATCACCAATGGCAGAGTAGTATACTAGTCACGTGTCTCCGCCTGTATCACGTGACCACTTTACTGCACTGCCATTGGTGGAATTTCTGGTCAAGTAATACGGGATGAATTAAATCTATTAAAAATAGAAATAACAAATATAAAATTAGAATTGGAGTAAACGTAAGTTATAATTAGCTTTCTCTGGGATATCATTGTTTTCAGATTGGTTGCTTACTTGCTGAATTGATCCATCTAAACCCACTACTTTTATACAAAATTTTATATATATTAATTTTTGTTTAAATTTGACAAAGTTGTATATCAATTTCTCGAGATAGGAACATCAGATATAACTTTCATGGGATGCGATCGAGAGCTAAAGTGATAAGACATATATATGTTACGTATAGCTGGCCAAACGTTCGTTTTTTTAATTTGAAAAAAAAGAATAAAAAAAAGTTTCACAGGCAACGCCCGGCCATTCAGCTGGTATTAAATATAATGTAAACAGTATAATATGTAACTTTCCTTTTCCTCTTCTTTCCTTATCCTTTTTTAAATTTTTTTTATTTTTGGAGGTTTTCAAATATTTTCTTCTGAAACACTTAATTTAGTATATTTTCATTATTTTTCATAAATAATTACTTACTTACTTACTTACTACCCTTACTAGATGTGAAAATAGAAATGCAGAAAGTCAATGATAAACAATTATTTTATCAATTTTCATAAATACGATTTTGAAACTAATATATTAAAAAATTATTGTTTCTCCTGAGATATTTGCTAGTTTAACTTTTTGCTATTAAATAATATTGTGGCGCCCCTGGTTCCTGGAATGCAGTACACAGCATATTCCATACTTCACATGTTATTGTTTAGATTATGATATACTGCATCTAGTATAAATACTGTTTTTGATAAATATATATTCAGTCAGTTTATTTGGTCTTATTCATTTGGTCTTATTCCTTTCGTCGCTACATTTTGGTGACCCCGACATGATTCTTTTGTCGGAATTAAATTCTCTCGTTGAAGCGCCCGAAATTGGTTTCTACCGAGTCCCTGCTCTTTTCATACTCAAACACCAAAGTAAGGTTTGGACGATCCATCAAGCTTCCCACCTTCTGGACGGACTCCCCCGAGGTGTGGTTCCTCCAGGCTGAGGCCCAGTTTGCGATCAAGCGCGTGACGACTTCTCTATCCAAGTTTCACCACTGTGTTGCAGCCCTTCCCCAGGACGTTGCCACTAGCCTCATAGATCTGATCCGTAATCCAACTTCAGGTCCCTATGCAACCCTGAGAACCCGCCTTATCCAGATGTACACTCTCAGTAATTTCCAGAGGTATCAGGCTCTCCAGAGTATCCCAGTTCTGACTGATCAAAGACCCTCAGAACTCATGGATAAAATGTTAGTACTCCTCCCTGAAGATGAGAAACCTGGTTTCTTTTTCTTAGGCCTGTTTATGGATCGTCTCCCTGCAGATATTCGTTCCCATCTACTGACGGAATCAATTGCTGACCCTAGACGGATGGCTACCAGAGCAGACGAACTATGGACCGTTCGTGGAAGAGTTAATGCCGTCGATGCAGTTTCGTCTCAAGACTACAGACCGATGGAGGATGTATCGCTGGTATCTCGAAGCTCCAGAACCAGGTCCTCTTCTAGTCGCACTAGATCCAGCAGTCCAGGGGGATCTACATCCTCATCTACCTCCTCAGAGTGCTGGTATCATCGCAAGTGGGGAAACCAGGATAACCAGTGCAGGTCGCCATGTTCTTTTTCGGGAAACTAGTTAACGGCGGGGATGTTGTAAACATGGTTCCCGCCGAAACCCACTCCTCACCCCTTTTATTCCTCAAGAAAAAGCTCAGCTCGTTGATACCGGTGCTTCTGTGTCAGTGTTCCCTCACCTTCCACGATCACCTTCAGCTCCAGGTTCTGGTGTTCAGTTGAGAACCGCTGACGGATCCCCCATGGACACTTATGGTTCCCGCTGTTTAGCTCTACAGTTTGGTTCCAGACGTTTTGAGTGGAATTTTTTGCTAGCCAACATATCCACGCCAATTTTGGAATCAGATTTTCTACGCCACAATCACCTCCTGGTTGACATCGCAGGTTCTTGTCTCCTTGACTCCTCGACCCTGTAACCAATACCCGCCGTTTCATCTTATTCAGTCAACAGCAAATCAGGTCTCTATGCTGCTCTCCTTTCTACCCCTGAAGAGTTCTGTGATCTCCTGTCCGAATATCCTGATGTTGTCTCCTCCAAAGGTTTTTTCACCACAGATCCAAGGCATCCAGTCCTCCACACCATCCCCACATCGCCTGTCCCGCCAGTTTTTGCCAAAGCCCGACGCCTTGACGCAGAAAAGCTGGAATCTGCAAGGAAGGAGTTTGCGGCCATGGAGTCTGCAGGGATAATCCGACGCTCTTCCTCTCCGTGGGCGAGTTCCTTGCACATGGTAAAGAAGCCTGATGGTTCCTGGAGACCTTGCGGCGATTACCGCCGCCTGAATACTCAAACTGTTCCTAATAGATATCCCCTTACTAATATTGCAGATTTCTCATCTCGACTTCACGGTTCCAAGGTATTCACTAAGCTGGACCTAACCAAGGGGTATTATCAAGTTCCAATGGCTCCTGGAGATGTGCCTAAGACAGCGGTGATCACCCCCTTTGGCCTGTTCGAATGGTTGAGGATGCTGTTTGGTCTCAGAAACAGCGGATGCACCTTCCAAAGATTGATGGATCAGATTTTTCAAGGACTTCCTTACTGTTTTGTATATGTGGATGACGTCCTTATCTCCAGCCCCGACCTCAGCTCTCACCTTAAACATGTTCAGACCGTGCTTGATCTTCTCCGACTCCATGGACTCAGTATCAACCCTGACAAGTGTGTTTTTGCAGCTCCTGCAGTGGACTTCCTTGGTATGAGGGTTTCAGGTTCAGGATGTATTCCTCTGACGAAGCACACCGAGATTATCTCCGCCTTCCCTCGTCCAACAGACAAGAAGGGTTTACAGAGGTTTCTAGGGATTCTCAATTTCTACAGAAGATTTATCAAGGCTGCAGCTGGTCTCCTACGTCCTTTAACTGAGGCTCTCAAAGGTAAATCTCCAACTCTAACCTGGGACCTAGAGATGAACCAATCCTTCGCAGCTGCCAAATCCATCCTGGCAAATGTTCCTACTCTGGTTCACCCTGATCCCTCCGCCAGGATATCCTTATCTGTGGATGCCTCTGGATCTCATGTTGGAGCAGTCTTACAACAAGAAGTATCCGGTTCCTGGGCCCCTCTTGCGTTTTATTCCAAGAAATTATCCGCCCCTGAATTCAAGTATTCCGCTTTCGACTGTGAATTGTTCGCTGCCTACTCTTCTCTCCGCCACTTCCGCTTCATGCTAGAGGGTAGACAGTTTATTTTGTTCACTGACCACAAACCATTGACATATGCATTGTTTAGAACATCTCCGCCCTGGTCCGCCATGCAGCAAAGGAGATTATCGTTCCTGTCTGAGTTCAACTGTGAGATCCTTCATCTTCCTGGTCCGGAGAATGTAGTTGCTGATGCCCTGTCCCGTCCAGAGTCCAGCGATGTTCCACACAATCCTCTGCCAACGACTTTGTTATCCGAACTCCAACCAGTTGCTCCGCCTCCAGTTCCAGGAATATCGTTCTCCAAAATGTCTATCCTACAGCAGTCCTGCCCAAAGATTGAAGTACTCAGACGTTCATCAACTTTATCTGTTATTTCTGTTCCGTTCTCAGGTTCCATCCTACTCTGTGACACCTCCACGGGCAACCTCCGCCCCCTGGTTCCAGAGAAGATGAGAAGGTTGGTTTTCTCGTCGATTCACCAGACCGGCTCAAACCTGTTTTCTCTGATCGTCCTCTGGTTCCACAGTTGCCTCCCCAACGTGGAAGACCTCCGTTGGCTCCGGCTCCGTTGGCTCCGGCTCCAGCTTTGTTGGCTCCAACCTCTCCAGCACCTCTCCAGAGAGCCCAGAGAATGAAGAAGAGAGTTAGATTCTCACCTCAACAGCCTTCTCCTCTCCCAGTTCGACGGAACCCTCGAAGAGAAGTCGGAGATAAACATCGAGCTCTTCATCAACTTCATCACCTCGATGCTGGGGGGACCCCTGTGGCGCCCCTGGATTCCTGGTAATATGATAATATGCAACACATTTTGGGGGGGGGGGCTTACCAGACACTCCGTCAGAAATCCCACAATCTGCTTGATTCAAATTGGAAATAAGTTACGATTTTTATCCAACGAAAAGGGAACAAAAATTTAGCGAAAATGGACAAAATTTTTTCGTAAAATGTCGAAAGTGCATCAAAATTCGTGAAATTTGTTAAGTTTTGTTTGTTAATTTTTGTGAATTTTGTTCAACGAAAATTTCGTTGGAAACCCTATTTCTCCTATCTGACTGGTGCTATGATGAATAAGTATTTTTGATACAACATATCACCTTTATTGAGGCCATAAGGGAAACAAGAACCAGCAAAGCAGTTAAGGAACCCATGAATCTATCACTGAAGTTTTCTAACTAAATGGATAATGATTTAATATCAAAGCCCCCCCCCCCCAAAAAAAAAGTGAATATACATGTATTGTTCTGAAAATTATACTTAGAAGAAAATTCTTGCATTTACTTTGTAAAGGACTTTTTTGTTAGGTTGACCATTAATGGAGATTTTACAGTTCAGTCAGGCTTTGAAGTTAGCAAGTTTCCATTGAATAAAAAGGCTGTCAGCACTGTCAGAAGAAATATTCATAATGTGATCAGCCTTCTATAGATAATCAAAGACAATGAAAAATTGGGCTCATTTTAAGTATGCAAAGTTCCTTTAGTCCTCCGATTGGTATGTATTTGGTCTCATTGTTTAGTATTTACTAAATTAGATGAGCATACAGACTGGCTCAAACAACTTACTTTAAAAATAGGAATTGATTAAAAAATTGTTTAACCTTGATAATAAGAGTGAGATAAGCCAGGAACCAGAGAAGAAATGTTTGCATGAAGATGGATATGAGAAAGGGTGTGTAGAGCCTGTTCAGTTCAATGGATATCTTAAAGATGCTCTCCTTACTGTCAGTGAAGTTACTCCAGCTAAAAAATTGTTGCTTTCAGTCTGGATGCATGTCAGGATTCATATCTGTATAGATTCCTGTCTATTTTGGCTCCTGTCTACCTTGGTTCATGTCTGCCCATGTTTCCTAACTACTTTCTGTGTTACTATCACCTTGATATCTATCTGGTTCAACTAATATGCATAATAACAAAATGGCAGAATTATTTAAAAGTGATTTTGACTACAAAAGTATAAAAATAAATTTCAGAAGTCTGCTGCAGACACTATTCCAAATGCCCTGACCCACTGATGAAGAAAGTTTGCACCTAATTTTACCAACGCTGAACTCGCTCAGTGTTCTGCTCCTAGTGTATTGAACAGCATGGTGTTCAAGTTCAGGAATCATCTTCAAGTTCTTGTGCGGACCAATACTGAAACATAGGTTGTTTAATACAGTGTCTTAGCCAGTTTAGAGGGGGAAGGCAAGCCACACCACCTGTTTAGCTTCCTATCCACAATTTACTCACAAACATAGACTCACTGGAAAGCGCTCACCCGTAGCGCTTCCTTAACCTAACCTATATATCTTCTAGCAATATGTCTTTAATTTAAGGGTTGATTTAATATTTAAAGGGGTCATGGGTAAATGGGTAAAATTCATCTAAGACCTATTAAGTTTTGGTATTAAAGTAATAAAAATCTATTTTGTATCAATTATCATCATGTGACATTGCCAAAGGGGAGTTTATTAGTCATTTATAGCTGGAATTAGGAATTAAAAATTAAACATTTTGCTGGAAGATACATGGGTGTCCTTAAGGAAGCGCCATGGGTGAGCACTTTGCGGCAAGTTTATGTTTGTGAGTTAATTGTGGATAGGATACAGGTGTGGCTTGCCCCCCCATCACCAGTTATATAACAGATTAAATTAATAAAGTTCAAGTCAGGTTAAGTATTTACCTCATAGCAATTTCTACAAAACAAACTTGTTCATCGAAAGGAAAATTGACAAATTTCATTTCACAGTAGAACTCTCCCTGTATCAACATATTGTTAATTTCATTTTTAATTTTAATTAAGCAATAACAGGTTTATTAGCAACCCCAAAAATAAAAAATAAAAAATTTTTAAATGAGTTGGTAAAAAGTGTTTTGTTTTGCATCCTGTTTGATTCCTTATTTTGCTTTGAGGATTTTTATAAGGAAACAGATGGCACTTCATCAAATTATATGCAAGGAACAGTGTCATGTAAGCTCAATACTGACCATAAGCTTGGGTTACAGGTTTTGGGATTACTGTGGTGGTAAGAAACCCATTTTCCATGGTTTTGCACTCAAATCTTTAAGTATTGTATTTTTCTAAACTTCTTTCTCTCCAATTCTGCCTCTATATCATGAAGCACAACTTTGGCTTTAATAGAAAAAAATATGTAAAAATAAATCTTTTGTAAATGATTTGTGAAAGTCAAAACCAAAACGTTGGACAGTATCAGCAGGTTATGAATAATAAACCTTATATCTTCTGATAAGAGAAAGCATAACATCCTTTCCATCATAAGCAATAGATTCAATTGACTGCCCAACATCAGGGGCTTTAGGACTTGACAATGGAATCGCCTGAAGTTGAAATTTTGAATCTCCAATAGTCTTTCCCAGCATTCCATTTGGAAAATAAATCTGGTGTGGAGCCCAAATAGAACGCTTAGAACCATCTGAAACATTATATGTTTACAGAATACAGGATTGATACATGCATTTTTTTAAATTCATTATAATATGAGACCAAGAATGTTGAGAATAAAATCTTGTAAGCAAGACAAATATCAAGATAGAACTGCTGCAGTGCCATGTGTATTGATGGGGTATTGTAAGAGTCAAACTGTTAGAGTAACCATGCATATATATTAGATTAGATAAAGGTTTATTGCCTAAGTGAACTGCTACAGTAACAGAAGAATATAGTTTATTGTCTTGATTTTACATCCACAGTAACCAGAGAAATATAGATAGGGTGTATTGTCTTGATTTTTCTGATACAGTAACCAAAAGAGCTGTGAAGTTTAGACTAATGCATTTTCTGAACTGTGTTTTAAGTCATTAATTAAATATGTGGGACTATTGATTCAATTAAACTCCCATAGTAGTGGACGATGGTGAGTATTGGTCTTCAGAGGACGAATTTAAAGAATTTGAGTCATGGTTCCAAAATCGTTGGTTCCACTTGAAATTGTAAGTGTTTTGAGATTTGAGCCAGGGCTCAATTGGTTCTTGTTTTTTTGTGAATCAGTGATGTGGTTTTAATTCTTTGAATTCGGCCTCAGGAGTTCTTTTTATTAAAGTCAAAACAAGACCAGTTGGAGGTAAACCAGCACTTCTAAGCTTGGTCTAAAAATTAACTGCCACACATCCAATGCAAAAACAGAGAGTGTTCAGTCAATGGTAAAAGAGTAATGGATATTATGTTGACTAAAGCCAAGGTCATATTTTACCTGTAATATCCACAGGATTGCCTGAAAACTCGGGAGAGTTTGTAAACACAATTGTAGAATCTATCCAACTCATTTCCATATCAAATGTCAATGTTATGGTGGAGTGTATTGTGTTTATTTCATCAAATTGTCTGATTGATACTGCTGCTTTCACAAATGTTTGTTGACCATAAGAATTGGGAGGGTTTTCTGTCGAAGAATCAAACATTGGAATAATTTTATTACAGTTCTTTTCATCTGAAAGATCAGCACAGTCAATAAAGTTGTTGCAAAGTTTAGCTTTCTTAATGCAATGACCAGAATTGCATGTAAAATGTGCTTTCATATCACACACTGACAATGTTAGAACTGTGTTTTCATCTAATACATCACAAGAAAGGTCACTTCCAGTCCAATTCTTTCTACCAAGAGGATCAAATGTATTGATTTTGATTTTCAAATCTTGATTCCGTTGACCATGATTTATGGTCCATTTAGAATCTCTCAGTTGTATTTGACTCCCTTTAAACCCATCAAACTGCAACCCTGAGTCAACATGATCCAAGTAGTATACATAGTCATACAGGCTCTGGGGGCAAAGTCCTTTTACTGTAAAAAGTGGCTCCTCTAGAAAACTACAAATAAAACATGCCTGTAAATTTATACAATCCTCATAAGTCCTACTCATCCAAAAACCGTCTGAGGTCATCATACCACATTTTCCATCTTGAGATAACTTTTTGAAATTTGAATAACTCCTATTTTTTAAGTTGTCAGAATTAGTAGACACAACCCATGTATCAAAATTGATCCAGAAATCCATTTTACAATCTTTTGAGTTGTTGCCTAGTAGCTGCAGCATTTGATCATTGTCTTTCTCAGAAACAGGGGTATGAAGGTGACCTCCAAGTTTAGAGCAATAATCTCTAGAAGAGTTATATGCCATTCTGTGTTTTATAACAATTTGTTTTTTAAACGGTTCACAGAGAGTTTCGTATTCAATGGTTTTCATATTTGATCCATGGATGGTCATATGTGTGTGATTCCATCTTGCTATATTTCCCTTTTGTACAACAGAACAATTTGATAGAGCAAGTAACGTATCCTTGTTAACAGGGAAGTTCCAAACATTAAATTCTGATATTCTGCCCCGGAGTGTCTGATGAGGATCAAAATCGCTGTTTAAAGCATCAGGTTCCTGGCCAATCATTAATGAATAGTTTGTATTAGTCTGTCCCAACTTTAAAAGTTCCGCAAAATGAGATGACATTTGGTATTTAGTTCTAAAAATTCCATCAACCCAAACCTCATTTGTTCCATCATTGCTTAGCCAGCAAATATGAATCCATTTCCGATGCGGTAAGTCACTAAATAAATTTTGAAGATCACATATTGACATCTTTGGGACTGGAAATACAAGATTAAAGCAGCTAATTCAAAATAAAATATTAATTTATATCATCATTCCCTACCTGAGAATATGTAACTTTGGGAATGAAAGACAATATAATTATATTACCATGGCATTATTTTAAACTTGTACATTTTCTAGAATAGTTTACTATTTATAGAAAGTAAAAACAAATTCTCCAATCTTGACCACATAATGGGGTTTTCGGAATTACTGAATGGTGTTTTTGATTACAAAAAATTGAAACCTGGCAACTAGTTTCCCAAAATTCTTACTCCTGCTGTACTCTTCAATGAACAATTGTACATTTTTGCCATCGCTTCCATCTTTTACTTTAGGTTTTAAGAACATTCCAGTTACATAAAGGTCCTTAGTGTCATTGGAAACAGCTTGAAACATCCAGACAGTGCTAAAAATTACTTAAAAACCACCTCATGGAAGAAGCAACACTCAATATCCATTCTTGGGCACAGGAAGTTGGCAAAATTTATTATGAACCCGCAAATTATTTTACAGAATCTCTCAACAATTGGTTCTGAACCATGCAGTATTTAGTCATCAAATTTAATTATATAATATAATTGACTATAGAATTTAGCATTTTGATAGGTTGAGAATAGGATGATCAGAGGGGTCGGAAATTTTTGCCAGCTGCTGGGAATTCAAAATTATTGTCTCATAGCCTCATATCCCTTCTCCTCTTTTTCAAATATTCTGGTTTTAAAATTGTAACTGTCGGAATTTCATAAGCAACTTACCTTATACTTGAACCATAGAACTTGTTGTACATCCAAAAGCAAAGTGAAATTGAACGGAAATCAACTGAACCCCATGCTCCATTATCTGGATGCATTTCTATCCAATCTGTTATACCAAACTTATCTTCCTGAATCAAACTATGAATTAGAAATAATGGAATGAAAGCAGAATGACATGTTTAAATGTTTTTTTTTTGAATATTTAATCATCAAACAAATCTTATTAATCCATGGTATTACGGTTTCAAGTACCGGGTGGATTTTTAACTAAGTAGTACAGTACAATTACAGACTATGTAGCAAAAGTTAACAATCAATTATCATCAACTATCATCATTGTTAACCCTATCTCTGCTGGGGTACTTGAAAACCAGGATACGCTGGGGGGGGGTGTTGCCTTATTTTATAGGCTTTCCAAAAAGCTAAAAGTTATCTAAATTTGACAACTAAAAGTGGGTCAAAACTAAGATTTAGTTTGTTACAGAAAAAAGTAGTCATTCAGACAGTTTGCCTGAGGATTCAGGCAGTTTGACTAAAAACCCACTTTTAGGACTGAAGACAGGGCTATGGTTATTTAGGAAAAGTCAGAAAATTTCAACAGCCTCAGACGAATACTTTTTGAGTTATGTAAAAAAAACTACAGGGGGGGGGTCAAATTGCCCCCCCCCCCCCAGCAGGAATAGGGTTAAATACTGAAAAATTTAGGAACATCATAACATCAAGGACATGCCTAGCCTTAGTAAGCTTTAAAAGCGCATGTTTGGTTTTACTCAAGACCTGAATGGGAACAAAGAAGGTTTGAAGAGAAAATCCAGCTTTCATAAACAGCAATAAGAACATTAGTGCTCCTACCAATGAATTCATCTTTGCACTGAAAAACTCTTATTTCTGATTACTTTTTACGATTTTTTATTAAAAATGGACAACATAGATTTACAAAAACATTTCAGTCTAGTAGATACTTCAATTAATTAATTAATGGTATCCTATTATGATGTCTTTTTAAAAATTTCACAACACCTTTAGTGTCTTATTACAACCCAGCACTCTTAAAGTTCTTTTAAAGGAAATATGTAGTTATGTTTTTTTTTTTGAAAATCGAACCAGCATTTAAGAATTATGATCAATTTGTTTGAAAATATCATAGATAAATAAATAAACATAGATAGCTTATGTACGCAAAATCACCAAGAATTGTACAGTCCGCGAACTCATACTTCTAGGGGTTAAAGTGTACTTCAATGATAAGCGGGGTGGTTTGGTGTTTTAATGGATTTCATAATTGTTAAACCACTCAGGAGTGAATTTTATTTTGAGAATATCGATATATCATATCGACGAGAACTGAAGAAGGACATGAGAAGGACTAAACTAACTTAATTTTCTCTCTTCAGAACTCTAGTACACCACAAGTACTCAATGACATAAGAACAGCCAATGTTCACAACCGACCTAGTTAATCTATAAAATAGGAATATCTTTAAAAGGCGTGGTTCCTAGCTTGGCGGAGGGGGGGATAGATAAAACTCCTAAATTGATTATTTGGCCGCAGTGCCGGCCCCCTAGCCTGTCCTAGCCGCGGCGCTCGGCCCCCTAGCCTGTGCTAGCCGCAGCGCTCGGCCCCCTAGCCCATCCTAGCCGCAGCGCTCGGCCCAGAAATAGTCTTAACCTAACCTAACCCTCAATAATAGGAGTTTTATCTATCCCAACCTCCGCCAAGCTAGGAACCATCCCTCTTTAAAACATCTCTTTTATTTCTTTCAAGATGAAAAATGTCGTCTTATCCGCAATCTATCTTTATCTATGGAAAATATGAACAAAATGATAAGCTGGGATATTTCACATGTTTTTATATCTCCAACTTTCCGATCAGAATTTTGAGAATAATGATCCTAATTTCCAAATTCTGTAACTGCAAGTAAAAAAAGTTAAAGTTTCTGTAGTGAAAACCAGAAAACTGCAGAATAGAAAGAGGACTTTAAAGTGATAGTTAAGCATATTTTATGTTGTTACAAAGCAAATAGTCATACTAGTCGCTTATTTGAAATCACTTTTTAAGTAAAATGGGTCTTTTTACACTGCACTTTCGCTTGGACTATTGAAAGTCAAAACTTATTTCAGAGTTTTATGGTTTTCAATGTACTATCAGTGATGGATATATCATATAGAGAATGAAATGAGTAACCATCTTGGAAAAATGTAGAAATTACAGAAAAGCTAAGTTAATGGTGTATTCCATATATCCTATGAGTCCAACTATTTACTGAAGAATAATTTTGTTAAACAGGGTGTTAACCAGTTACTCTATTGATTTCAGATACTTTTAAAAAGACAGTTCTTGGGTATAAAGAGGATTCCAGCAGAGGATAAGTAAAAATCGTTGCTTGCAAATTGCTCATTTTTTACAAAAATTGTAACTCGTAAAATTGACGAATTGATTTTAAGTTGATTGAAGATTTAAGAGTTATATGTTAGTATAGCTTACCCAATAAGGTACTTTAAACTAAAAGTAAAATGGTTTGAACATGTAATTTCCTTCCCAAAAATATTAATTAGTTAAATACAAGCAAATCGTAAACCAAGGCTTTGTTTTTGACTCAGTATATAGTCAGCTTGAATTTGAAGTATGGAAGTAGGACATCCCTAGAAGGCTGATTCTTTTTGACTAATTTGTTATTGTTATGATTGATTATGAAGGGTTGTCGTTAACGGTCTTTAACAATCATTGTCCAAAATTTAAAATAAATTACCTTTGTTCATGAAACGACAAACTAAAATTAAAAATTAACTTCTTCCTTTCTAAATTAAAAAATGCAATTGTTTTTGAAAACGACTCTTTCGTTTTTGAATTTTTATTACGTTGTTAACAAAACGATCAGAGCTGAAAACTGTAGAATGTGATACCCTTAATCCCGATCTATTAATTAATCTGGAGATTAAATTCATGAGGAAAACAAGCAATATTTAATCTGGAGATTAAGAAAAAGAGTGGATCAAGCATTAATCCCGATATCCACCATTCAAAAGTTCCCAGCTCAGTTCGTTTTTAGATAAGTGAAAACCATCCATCCCTACAATAGCATATAAAATATTTACAAAAAAATCCTTTAGTTACTATTTTTAAAAGTAAAAAATGTCTAGGCCATTAAGGACAAAAGAACTAGAGGGGCCAAAAGCGCCCCCCTCCCCAGCCTGTTTAGGGGGTGGTTAAGGTAAATTAGTTTTTATCATATGCGGCACTCTGATTGGTTAAAGCGAATTTCTGTGCATCAACTGACGTCACATTAGGGTTATTGTTGAATATTCGGGACCAGTTTATTGAAATAAAAAAGTTCCAACAGGATATTTCTAAAACTCCAATTTTTTCTTTTTCAAAAAAAGAGATACATTCTGTTTAATGAATTAACCGTTTATCCTTAGAGCTAGGCAAAGTACATAAGCAGCGAGTAATTATATTTACCCGACCCTCTGCTCTGTACACAATATTGTTTAAGTTTAAACAAAAATTAAATATTGGATTTTGCTTTCTTTAACAAATTGAAAAAATGGTGAGCCAGAAAAATGTTTGAATTTTTAATTGAAATATCTTTTTATTGGGGAACTCAGTAGAACCACGGGGATGTTCCTATAGTTTGGTTTCAAAGTCCTAAGCTGAGTAAGTTGATTTTAATGAGGCAATTTTTGATAATAATTATCAGATTGAAAAGTTTTACAATATTTAGCAAGTTAATTAAGCTAAAATTGACAAGTTTTCTATTGCTATTAATTAAACAAATGTATTCTTTTTATTGTAGTCGATCAAACTGAAGAACATGCAGTATATAGGAATAGTATTTTTGGAATACCAACTGTGGCTACACTAATACCCAGATAGCAGGAAGATTGGTCAAACTTATGAAAACAATTTTTTTCATAACTTTTGAGGATGATATTATAAATTTATTCTTGATTCAGAAAATAAAGGTACCATTGTAAATCGGACATGGTATCCCTGACTGAAACTTTTTGTCAAGTGCTCACAGTCCCTTTCAGCTTCAAACCCGGAGAAGTATAAAGAAAAAGAAATAATCTTTTTTTTCTCAGATGGACCACGTGCGTATACAGGATTTGAATCTTCCCTAATTACACTCCCTACACGTATTACTTAAACATCTGCAACATTACTAGATCACATATTTAGTAATTCAGACCCTGAGTCAAAACAATGTGGAATCATCTACTCAAGTTTATCTGACCATTTATACCCGTTTTTTTATTGTGTAAATGTACGCAGCATAAAGATAATATTGGTAGCAAACCAGTTCTAATTAGAAACACTTCAATCAAAAATAAAGCCAAGTTTAAGGAAAAAATTGCTACTTAAAGGGAGTGTTCGCGAAAAATGAAAGGGGGTATAGGCTTAATGCGATAAAAAAGCGCTTTTGATCGCTACTTATCTTACTTTTATCTGTTGCGTCTATAAGGAGAAAATTGATAAAGACGTCTCATACCGAAGAGCGTAGCGCCCATACAAATTGAGGAAGTTGGAACATACGACTTAGACCGTAAAAAAATCAATTTAATTTCAAACAAATCATTCAGATATCACAACCTATAGTCATCGATTATCTTTCGCCACATTTGTATATATTTGATATTTCATACTAGTTTTGATTTTGTTTTTTAAAATAATATTTAGCTTACAACTTGTTTTCGAACATTCCTGGAAAATATGAAAATGTCGTCTTCATTACCAAAAATCCTCGAAACAGGAATAAATGTTTTTATAAGTAACTCTCAGATCATAACAATTAAAACATATTCTGGAAAATCAACTATATATAAATGTGGCGAAAGATAATCGATGACTATAGGTTGTAATATCTGAATGATTTGTTTGAAATTAAATTGATTTTTTAACGGTCTAAGTCGTATGTTTCAATTTTCTCAATTTGTATGGGCGCCATGTTATTTCGTATATAAGCAATAGTAGTCTTTCTGATCGAAGTCCCTCTGTCCTTGTTTACCAGTAAGGGGCTTACCCGGTTTTCCTCTTAAAGTCTGAAAAAGTCCTAATAGTCTGATATATTATTACATTTCTTATCTATCCACGCCAAATACCTTTTATAAATACTTCTGTACAATGCAACACTAAAGAAATTTGTTATGATATAAAATCTGATTTCTTTGAGCTCTTTTTTTATATACACTTCTGTATAATCCAACACTAAATAAAATTTATATGATTTAAAATCTGATTTCATTGAGTAAAATGTAGAAACCAATGCTTTAAGTTAACTACTGCTTTCTTTTACTAATTCGGTACGAACTGAACTCGAATGCCTCCTGAACCTGCGGATAACTGAGACATACTTCACCGCAGCAAAGAAACGGCTCCACAAGATATGATGAAAAAAGATGCAGCCTCGATTTTAACAAGGAACCGTCAATGTTCCTTTACTTTCCTTGATATAAGATCTCTTAATTAAAATTTTCCATCTTTTATCCTAGAACATGTAGCCGAAATATTAACGAGAAACTGTCAATGTTTCTCTTAATAACGCTAACATGAATTGTTTTTTAATTTTCTTCATATCTAAATCAATATGTCTTTTTCTCAAACTTAAATTTTGTAACATCATTTTTAACTAGGAACGTTTAATGTTCCATTTTACGATGCTAACAATAATCTTCTTCAATATGAACTCTCTCCCGTGCATGCTTATGTGAAAGCATGCGCACTGTTAATTGTAGCATTTTCCATTATGAGATAACACACACTGTTTGCAGTAACTCCCTGTCAAATCGCTCAAAAGTATGCTACCCTCTAATATATAATGTAGTTTTTTCTCTTGAACTGCTGCTCTGTCAGTACTTGTATATAAATTTAACAGCGATCAAGACATGAAAAAACGAAAAAAATGTATCGATTAATTTCTGGATTTTGACCTTACCAAATTGTAATTGTATGTACACGATAATATCGCAAAAAAAATAATTTTATCCATAATAACAAATTTTGTATACCTGTAATAATCTCGATACATGAATAAATATCTAGATCTTAAAAAAACATTTCTTGTTATTCTTCTTAGGTTCTCAGGTTTTGTGTATCATTAAATGGTATATGTATTGTAATGCTCATTAGAAGTAACATATATACATGTTTTTTAGAAAGGATAAATTAAGAATGACTGATTTTCTTTAACCCTACTCTATCTCTGCTGAGCCCGCGATTTAAAAACTTTGGCTCGAGTCGTAATTCCTTAAACCCAACTTTAAGACCCATTCTTCGACCCAACTCTAACGACAGCTTGTGTAACGTGATTGACAGCTGCGAGATCTTAGGCTTGGCTTAAGGAGTTAGGCCCAATGAAAATAAAACCGACCTTGATTGGTTTTAGTGGAAAATAAGGCTCAATGTTGCGTCTTGTTCTCATAAAAACTGGGAATGCGCCAATTCCTACAATGAAAATCCGCCAAATAGAATATTAAACCGGTTTTTTGAATTCAACTCTGTGAAAAATAAGATGCAGCTTTAATCCGAAAGCTCAAGCCGTAAATAAGGTCCAACTACAGCTTAGACCCGAGCCGTATTTCCCCGAGTTTTTTAAATCGCGGGCTCTGGGGTACTTGAAAACCAGGATATGCTGGGGTCGCTCTAAATCCCATGTTTGATGTCCAAATATGACAAATGATACATCATTAGAAAGCTATTGTGCTCTACTTATAGAATCTGCTAAAAATGTGCAAATTTGCAAAAATTGAATTTTTATCGCAAAATCCAATTTATTGTAAAATGTTGGCAAAAAATTTTTTTTCCAAAAAATGAAAAATTATACATTTTTGAAAAGCCCTTGAACATGCCATTTCAAATATGCAAAAAATTTTGCAAAATTTTAAATCTTCAAATATAGCAATGCCCGATTCACAAAGATACCTATGAAACCTTTATCTGATCTTTGTGGGAGATATTGTCGTTTTTCTAGGTTTGAACGTTTTTACCTCTTAATATTTCCTACACGTTTTCCTACGCAAATGCAAATGCAAATGTAAATGCAAATGCAAATGTAAATGCGCAAATCACTTTTGTAGAGAAATCACTACTGAAAATAATCAGTTTATAAAATTGTAAACCTTGATACCTAATTCATACTTAATCAGACAACGCTTTAAAGGGTAAAATAGTTAATCGGGCAATGTCATCTTTGCAGGAAGGGTCTCTTGAAATAACGCAAACAGTCCCTTTTAATAAAAAAGTTATGGCTGCGCATTTAAGTAATCGCTTTGAATTTAGAAACATCTCTTGTAATACTGACTAATTTTGACTCATTTCAGAAGAACATTTTTTTTCTCTCAAGTTTTTCTTCAAGAATTAGAATAAGGCAAGTTGAACTAAAGTTACAGTAGATAAAGAAGCACAAGAAAACAACAGAAAATCTACAACATGACTCTTTCGCCATTTTTAAGAATCGTTAATTGTATTTAATCTTGAAGAAATATTACTATTCATGTATACATGTTGACAGTGTACAAACCATTTTATAAAACAAACAAAATGTAATTTTAAAACTACATTTTAAAGAATTTAAAATAAAAATAAATAAGATGAATTTAATTTCACGAAGTTTTATTATTTTACTCTAGATTCTGGGATAAAAGTAAACAAAATTATAAATAGACACAAAGGACATGTTCTTGAGTTACAAGAATTATTTCTATTTTTCATCCTTCTTATCCTTCTCCTTCTTCTCATCCTACAATTAAACTTCGTTAATAATCAATTTGTTCACATAAGTCAAAACTTAAAGGTATTGTAAAGGAAAAATGAAAGGGGGGTATTGGATGAAACCATAATCTCAGGAGTTCAACGATACATATGAGACATCTATCTGATGTTCCTGTCTCGAGAAATTGATATAAAACTGTGTCAAAATTGAACAAAAATTCATATATACGCAATTTTGTATTTAAGTAGTAGGTTTAAACAGATCATATTCAGCAAATACGCGACCAATCTGAAAACGATTATATCCCACAGGAGCCTGATAATCTCAGGTTTGCTCCTATTGTAATTTTTAATTTTTATTTTGCATTTTTAATGTTGACAATATTATTAATATAGTCCGTATTACGTCACCAGAACTTCAGCCAATGGCAGAGCAGTAAACTGGTCACGTGATTTTCGTCTGTATCACGTGACCAGTATACTGCACTCTGATTGGCGGGAGTTCTTGTGATGACGTAATACGGACATAAAAAAAATATTTTCAATTAAATCTATTTAAAATGCAAAAAAAATATAATGGGAGAAAACCTGAGATATAATCATTTTCAGATTGGTTGTGTTTTTGCTGAATATGATCTGTTTAAACCTACAACTTTTCGAGACAGGAACATCAGATAGATATCTTATATGTATCGTTCAACGCCTGAGATTCTCAGGTTTCATCCTATACTCCCCCCCCCTTCATTTTTCCTTTACAGTCCCTTTAAGGGTGTAACTATTTAATCGAAAAGCAAAAAGCAAAGCAAAAAATTAAAATACAGTAGTATGAAAAGCAACATTTATTAAAGAACAAAATTGAAAAAATCAAAACTCATTCAGTAATAAACGATTTAAAAAAAAACAAATCATATATAGGTTGAATTTTTTAATTTTTCAAAAATTGTTGATTTAGGTATAAAAAGATGCGCCTTGAACCACCACCATTTTTTATATTTCAAAAATTGTTTTATTTGAGGCTAAAACCCTGTTTATTTAGTACTCCCGACAAATATATAAAAAAAAACCTTTTTGGTTGATAATATGCTGTATTTTCAATGGATTTCTACGCTTTTCACGTTTCTAAACTTAGTGTTTCTAGACACATATTTTGATACCAATATGATTTATTTTGACAACATTTTTTGATTTGGCTTAGTGATATGATTGACACAAAAAAAGCAAAAATTGAAAATTAAAAAAACGTATTCAACTCTTTTAAAAAAAAATAAAACTTTAGTACTGGTGCATGGTGGATTTCAGCTTTCATAAAAAAGAATGCTATATAAACTAAAGATTCAAAAAATCATTTTAATTGGGACGCGTTTAGTGTTAGGAGATAGCAAAATGTTTTATTGTACATTTGCTAATTTATTGGACGTATTGACAATAAACATAAACCTGGAACTGGTTTTAATGTATACAAATCTGGAACTGGTTTTATTGTATGCAAATCTGGAACTGGTTTTATTGTATACAAATCTGGAACTAGTTCAATTGTATGCAAACAACAGTTAATAGACAGTAATTTGACCGGGACGCACACTGCCAAGGGTTTCTGAGTATTTGTCAACAACTTTTTAAAATCATGTTAAATGTTTCCACGCTGTCGGTTGTTAATAGTTGTGTAAAAAATAGATTAAAATAAAAAGGGCCAAGAATGTTACCTTGATTGCCCCCATTGCGTTTTTAACCGCTTCGCTCTGAGGATCTACTCCAGGAAGGTTCTGGAGAACACTCTGGAGGAAGGCAGGATCATTCATAACCTCACTGTAATCCTCTTTATCATCTACCTCCATACCCTCTCCTCCCTGCACAGTACACAGTACACGTCAAATCAAATATAAAAAGACGTCATGACCCAGCAAACTGTAAATGATTCCAATTCTTATTCATTCGATTTAATAATTAGATTCATGACCAAGGAGCATGGCATTTAAGGGAGATTGAATCAACCCGGACCATACGAATATACATGCTTTGCAGACGGGGTTCCCCATTTGAAAAAAAGAGCCTTTAAAGGTCGTCTTTTAATTTTCTAAATGTGTTTTTTATTACACCATTTTAAATCAAACCGATTTTTTATATTATAAAAAAATACGCTTGTCAGATGAAGTACCGTCTGCAAAGCATGTATAATCATGTGGTAGGTAGGGTGGTCCAGGTCGATTCAACCTCCCTTGTATCCCATGCTCCATGTACACGAAAGTATTAATACTTAAAAAAATTGGCTGTTAATGAGAGAGGCGAGTTCAGTAATTGACACGAACCTGTGAGGCATCCTCCTGCCCCTCAGCCATCGACATACGCATTGCGTAGGCAATCTGCTCCTCTTCCGTCATAGCAGCGAGGTCGGGTGCTCCGCCCTCGTCCATTGACATAGCTAGCGCTCTCTGCAGCATAGCTTCCTCACTAGTATCCTCTTCTCCTCCACCTACAGCAGGGGCACCACCCTCTCCATCCTGGACACAATCAATCAATCAGTAAATTAATCCATCCATAAAGCAATCAATCAATCAATCAAGCAACCAACCTGGAAAAACTATTTGTTTTATAACAACATTAAATACAAATCAGATAGTACCACTGTACCAAAAATTAGAGGGAAATGTGCACTTATCCAGTTTCAAGAAGATAAGAAACTCATTGATCTGGTTTAAGTTTATAATATAAAATTACCTCTGGTTTAGCCGGTGTTCCAGTCTCAGCCTGTTGACGAGCTCGTTGCTCTTCCATCGAAACCCTGAACAACAAGAGCTCATAACTTATGAATCTCTTTAGAACGCGCTCAGTCTGTTTCCCGTATATTCAGCTTATTCTCGGATTTACCTTAAACCCGGAAAATGTCTTAATTTAAGTTAACTTTTACATATTTATCAAAGCTTAAATTTTATTTTAATGATCTGAGAAAAAAAAGAACAATTTTACATTGAAAGACATGTTTTTTTTTTTAAAAATCCATTTTCAAACTTTTATCCTATTTATTTAGTTTCCCAAATTTAGCAAATATAAAACAGAATAAAATTTTACGCTCGCGCAAGCATACTTAACTTTTCTTTTTTTGGTCGGAGGGGTGTCTTTTTTAAGATAATCAGGAAGACTTAGAATTAATATATATCTGGCAATTTTAAATGTTGAAAATAGGCACAAATGGCAGGACTAGGGCTAATTTGTGATAGTTTCATCAATCATATTTGTAAAATTAGATTGTAAAGCCGTCTGATTAATTGTTAATTAATTCCGGGTCTTTCTGAACAGAAAGATACATATATATAAAGAAAACACACACCCCTGTAAAACACAGCTTAGAATATGACTTGTGTATACCTGAGAGCTAAGGCAAGCTCAGGATCGTCATTAGGATCGACTCCAAACTCATAAGATCCACCGGCGGCCACACTGCCGCTACCATCTTCACCCTGGACGATCGGCGAGCTGACGAGAGCATCGGATAGATGAGGGCCGGGGGGGACAGTCACCAGGTGGCTGGACGTTCCCTCCTTTCCGTTAATTGTTTCTACAAATAATAGTTATCTCGCTTTTTTTTAGAAGCATTACACCATGTTTAAAGTTATAAATTTAGCATTGAATTATTGCTTTTCATGCAAACAATTTTTCTTCTAATTAAAGAAATTAACTAAACTAGTTCTAAGATGCATATTTTCCTGTTCAAAATAGCGGATTTCCAAAATGTTTATAAAATGGAAATAATGTTTTGAAGTGGCTGTCAGGTGCACGATACTGTACTGTACTGTACTGTACTGTACTGTACTGTACTGTACTGTACTGTACTGTACTGTACTGTACTGTACTGTACTGTACTGTACTGTTTTGAAGTGTAAGATGCACGAATGCCCAAACTGCCTTCTATTGGTCCAATTCGGTCAGGTGACCTATGACGTCATCGGTTTAACTTGTCAATAATTACTGTCCAGAATCTGGCATGTGATGGGCAAGTTTGTTTTTATTTTGAACACTTTTCAAACAATAATTCAACTGAAAACAATGACAACAAAAATGAATGCAAGAAATCAATCCATCTAAAAGGATCACTAAAGAAGGGGCCGGGGTTAATAATAAATTTATTTACCGATAAACTTGTTGAGAAGAGCTGTATTCACCTCCTCCTCGCCAATATTGATGATGTCAATATTCACCTGGAAACACAACATATATAATTTATTCAGATTGGAATAATCAACAATGATTCCAAAGCCTAACTTCTGATATAAATATATAATCCCAATTTCAAATTAATTATTTACGACTACTTCACATTTTTTTTCGGCTTTTGAGATGAATCTGTTGGGAGGAATCAGGGCGGTAATGTTGGTTAAAATGCGTAAAAAGTTTAACTCACCTTCTCCTTCTTAAGTTTCTTGGCAAGCTTGATCAACTCCTTCTCGTCTACGTCTATGGGGGAACCCACGAAGGCGACAATCCTGGTCTTGTGGTTCTTACCCTGCCTAAACAATTACCAGTCTTAAAACACACAACAAACGAAAAAAGATTGATAAATTACAAAATGTCATATCAGTGATCAAAACTAACGATTTTGACTCCAAACGAACAACTAAAAAAAAACGAAATAAGAATAAATGTCTTAGGGATATAAATTATTTTCTCATTATAAAACTTAATTTGTAAAACAAAATTAAGGGAAAGACGAAACATTAATCTTGGAAGAAGGCCTTAACTTTCTATAAACTTTTAAATTGATTTTTTCTCTGCTACATACAAAAAAATTCATGCTTTTATCGCTTCATGCTTTTTGTAAAAAAAAACGTTTTGGAAAGGGACTGTATCCATACTTCCAGACCTACTGTCACTTTTATAAATAAATAAATAAAAGATCAACCATCATTCCGTGGAAATCAAGGCCGAGACCCGCTCAAAAATGACAGCCAAATGACGGAAATTAATGTATATCCGATTATGACTCAAGTCTAGTGTGATCGAGACATCGAGGTCTAGGTCAGTGACAGGAGTAGTGCATTTCATTAAATGATTTCATTAAATATATTTCTGATATTATTGATAAATTGATTAATTAGAGCTGATTAAATAAAAACCCTTCCAATTTAGAGTCTCATTTTTAATTGTTTCCTGCTAAACTTTAACAAAATCATTTACTTATTGTTGTTCACAAGAAATTTGCATTTCTTCATTTTACAACAACAAAAAATTAATAATATGGTTTAGACAAGACAATGGACGTTAAATTATTTACCTATGTTTGAGACACAGATGTGCAATCTTGATTCCGGAGATAAACTTCATCGGTCCTTCAGGACTTACCTAGATATCAATCAATAAATCAATCAATCAATCAACTAATTAATCAACAAATCAGTTAATCAATTAATCAATTAATCAAATAAACAATTTATCAATTAACCAAATAATCAATTGATTAATTAATCAGTTGATCAATTAATCAGTTAATCAATTAATCAATTAATCGATTAATCAATTAATCAATTAATCAATTAATCAATTAATCAATTAATCAATTAATCAATTAATCAATTAATCAATTAATCAATTAATCAATTAATCAATTAATCGATTAATCAATTAATCAATTAATCAATTAATCAATTAATCAATTAATCAATTAATCAATTAATCAATTAATCTTAATCAATTAATCAATTAATCAATTAATCAATTAATCAATTAATCAATTAATTATTCAATACATAAATCCACCAATCCATGAATCTATGAATCCATCAAACAATCAGCCCATACATCCATCAAACAATCAAACCATGAATCCATCAATCCATCCATCTATCCATCAATCAATCCATCAATCAATCTATTAATCAATCCATCAATCCTAGAATCAACCCATAAGTACTAGAATCCATCAAACCAATGAATCGATCAAATCATCTATATTCATTATTCATGCAGTCAATCCATCAATCTATTAATCAACCCATTAATTAACTCAAGCATTATCATTGCTGTAATGTGACAAATAAATGACATTTTCTCCTCGGATTTGCTGTGCAAACTATAATTAGGCTTTTAAGGGAACCAATGCTGAAGATACAGATTTTTCATAGTTTCATCGTGAATTGATGTCGACACGTTTATCATTTAACCTACCTGGTGGAGTTTAGCGAGAAGTTTTCCAGTATCATTGGTAAGAGTTACCAGAACAGATAGATCAGACATTGTCATCAGAGCAACATTAGATTCAGGGTTAGATCTGGTCTTACTGTGAGCTATTAGGTTTACAGCATCCTGTATAAGATATATTAGATCTGGTCTTACTGTGAGCTATTAGGTTTACAGCATCCTATATAAGATAATTTAGATCTGGTCTTACTGTGTACTATTAGGTTTACAGCATCCTATATAATATATATTAGATCCTGGTCTACTGTGTTCTATTAGGTTTACAGCATCCTATATAATATATATTAGATCTGGTCTTACTGTGAACTATTAGGTTTACAGCATCATATATTATATATATTAGATCTGGTCTTACTGTGTTCTATTAGGTTTACAGCATCTTATATAAGATATATTAGATCTGGTCTTACTGTGAACTATTAGGTTTACAGCATCCTATATTATATATATTAGATCTGGTCTTACTGTGTGCTATTAGGTTTACAGCATCCTATACAATATATTAGATCTGGTCTTGCTGTGTGCTATTAGGTTTACAGCATCCTATATTATATATAAGATCTGGTCTTACTGTGTACTATTAGGTTTACAGCATCGTATATAATATGTATTAGATCTGGTCTTACTGTGAGCTTTATAGTACAACATATACCTCTACATCTATAAATATACGTCTAAATCTGTAAATATAGGTTTTGTTCAATAGGTAAAGGTTTTTTTTTTTATTAAGTACAGATTTAGATCTATAAGTTTATGTCTAGTTATATACATAATGGTTTAGATTAAAAAGGCTTAGGTTTAGTTTTCTTAACGTTTATGTCTATAAATGTAGGTCTAGATCTTTAAATAAAGGTTTAGATTTATAAATATAGGTGTTAGTTAGTTCTATAAATTAAGATCTAGATTTAAAAATTAAGTCTAGTTCTAAATACCTGCTGTGCCTGGAGCCTAGTGGGTAGATAATCTCCATTCCTCATGAACTCGGAATTATCCACACAGATAATAGTGCTCTCAAGAACCATTTTAAATATCTGTAACATGTTATCTTAAATATTATCTACATCATTCTTTAGACTAAAAGTAAATGCAAGGGGTATCAGGCCCACGTCTCAGTTTGATATCGTCCAGTCACCTCCATTTTCTCAACATACTTCTCTGCTTCTTCACTTCCCAATTCCACTGCTAGAGCGTCAACTAGCGCTTCTCTCACTTGGCTTGGCATGTTTTTACTATTTCCCGCCACAAAGAAGTTCCCGGATTTCTCTAAAATCAGCTGACGAACTTTTTCCTGGTTTTCTCGGATTTTGTGCTGTACATATATTTTGTCCTCCTGGTCACGTGAAAACGCTGTTATTGCTTCAAAATGTTCACCACATTCCGGCCATTCGTCGGAAAAGAAATAGTCTGCCGATTTATTACGGCAGCCGAAGAATAACAGCATAGGTCGTTCATCTTTTTTGGCCACCATTGAGGAAATATATGATCTAAATAAATTCAAAATTAACACTTCAATTTTTTTAATTTAAAGTTATTTGGTCGCAACATCTACATTTAAGTAAGAAACGTAAAATGACATTATAAAAAATGAAAAAGACAATTATTATATAAATACATATATAAATGGTGTAGTTAAAATTTGTTTAAATAATTTTTTCTTGAAAATACAGGTTTCCAAAAGAAAAGAGAAAAAAATATGCAAAATTATGCACAAATAGAAAACATTGATTTTTACTCACTACATAACATATTTATCATTTCAGTTATTACGTAATCATCGATCATCATAGATCAATCATAGATGTTTTCAAGCGTTCCATATTATTTGACCAAACTTTTCACAGTATTTACATTTTTAGAAAGAAAGTAAAAAAAAATAAAAAAAGAGATTAAACATAAATTGAAATAAAAATACCTAAAAGGTGCGACACCAGTTCCAGGGCCCACCATAACAGCTGGTGTTCCGGGGTCCACTGGGAACCTGATTGTTCCTTTTCTAACCCAAAGGTTCACCTTGTTCCCTGGATTTAGCTCCGATATCCAGGTGGAACACAACCCTCGCCGCGGAGACGCTAGGTTCGATCTGAAATAATATTTCAAAAATGAAACTTTTTTATATTCATGTAAAACTTCTCGATCTTTTAAAAAAGTAACAAAGACAAATTTAAAAAAACTAGAAATTCAGGGCGCTTTGCACAACTTCTTTCTAGGCTTTTAGGGCGCTTCGCGCCCATCTTATATTTCAACTTTTAATTGTGGCTTTATCTCTGAACATCTTCTCTTTGTACAGTATAAAACAAAAACAAAAAAAGTTTGAGGATTTCATGATATTTTTTGCGCATTTTCAAAATTTTTCAAAAATAAAAAACTTTTAAACATAAATTTTTAAAATTTTGATCATTCATAAACCTTCCCTGGGGTCACGTGAGGTCCCACAAAAAATTTGGGCCCGATCGGTTCAGCCGTTTTGACGTTTATTGGACACAAACAAACAAACAGACAAGCCAAATTTATATATAGAAGATAAGGTAGGGTAGAGATTGAGAACGATGAGAGAACCACTAGGCCAGTGTGACAGAAAAATCTAAAAGAGCCTGTTAGCTCTACACTTTTCCCCCCGTAATTATTCTATTTTTCTTTAAAGGGAGTGATCGGAAATGTATGGTAGTTTAACTGAGAATGAAGTAAAGCAATTGTACGATTCATTCAAATCGTTCTTACGGTGCATATTTGTTCAGTAAGAGCGAAAATTCAATCTTTAAAATCCTCAAAGGTTGTAAAATGTCCATTTTGGAGGGATGATTTTGAGAATCGAGTTTTTAAAAATTATTCAATGGTGACCATGAAATATGTATCAAAAATTCGACAGTAAACTAATAAGTTGTTGAGGAACAGATTGAAAAAACTAAAATTTAACTCTTATCATCGAAAATAATTATTCTTATTCAGTTATTAGTTTCTGTAATGTCTCAATGTTCACAAATATTTTCTGTAGATTTCCTGGAATTTTGATTAAAAAGACGACATTTGAAGAATTTGAAGAAATCTGCAAACAAATTTGTAAAGAATAAGAAATTCAATATAATGCTGAAAAGGAAATAAATGATTCTAACGTTTATTTTTTACAAAGTTCAATTGAGAAATATGTTCCTTAACATCAAATTAGTTTACTTAAGAAGTTTTGTTACATTCTTCGTCGTTGTTATTGAATAATTTTTAAAAACCGATTCGCAAAATCATGTCTCCAAAATGAACAATGAAGGAGCATTTTAAAAATTAAATTTGCACTCTTGCTGAACATTTAAGCATTGCACTCTTGCTGAACATTTATGCATTGCACTCTTGCTGAACATTTATGCATTGCACTCTTGCTGAACATTTATGCATCTTAAAACCGTCCGATAGGTCTCAAATGAATCCTAAAAATTTCTTTAAAAAACTCTCAGCTAAACTATCACACCCTTTAATATCTAAATGAACAGTTAACAACCATGCAAAAGACACACAAAAACAATAATTTATTCTCAACACAAGATCTTTAAAATCTCGGGGAAAAAATTGAAGTTAGAACAGAAGGGGCGAGGAGGGGGGATTTCTAACCTATATTAAACACCTGCAACTAAATGTTAAATATGGTTTACATGTTTCTCCAAGCTACTACTGATACTGAAGGACCGGGGTTTTATCTAAAAATATTAATTAATTCTTAAAATGTTGCTAACAGATGTTACAGATGTTACAGATGTTACAGATGTTAGGTGCCAAACAACAAATTATTCAGTAAATTGTGTAATTACCAAGCAGTTTAATCAGCAACAAATTCAATATTCAATTAACAGTACATTTTCATCCCAATCAATTTCTCATTTTTTGATTTAAGATCAACTATATTTTTTAAAGGGACTGTACGCGCAATTTCAAGTAACCCTCCATGCAAAGAAGGCAATGCCAGATTAACAACGGTACCCTTAAAAGCTTTGTCTGAACAAGTATAAATTAGAACGCCATGTTTTTCTTTCACTCTTTTCTGTGGTTTCCCTGTAAAAGTGACTGGCGCATTTCTTAAAAAGACTGAAGAAATTTTTCTGACATTATTTCTGACACTTTTCCGACATTATCTTCACATTTTTGATCAGATTAAGGTGTCAAGGGCCCATTGTAAATCAAGCATTGCCATCGTTCCAATGAGATTCACTTGAAAGTTGAAATTACGCTTACAGTCCCTTTAAGAGATTTGCAATAATTATGTTTATTGATAGATAATTCAAGTACCTGGGGAATTAAGTCGAACAAGAAGTGGAATGGAATATTAGGAGTTGTGTGCCGGAAATCATAAAGGACCTGAGATTATAATAAGGTTGTATTCAGGGGCAGATTCAGAAGGGGGGAGGAAAATTCTGGCCCCTCTGAAATTTTGGGTGAACAAATCCCCCCCTACCCTAAAGAAAAAACAGAAAAACTCTTAAAAATCAAAATAGCTGCAACTCTTTGCAGCGGTAAGATTGAGGAGTGACGTGCTTGAGTTCAAAAGCTCAAGTACTTTTTTAAAAAAACAAAAAAAACTGTTCGTTTTAAGGGTTAATAAGATGCAACTAATCCAGCAAACGTGTTCACTACTATTAGCGCCAACAAATTCAGGTTCAATTGCTTTCTAATATGTTTTGTCCTACATCCGCTCACGATTGCATTATTTTTTTTTTTTTACTTTGAATGATCTTAAAAATTGTCAAAAAAACTGTTAACTTACTTCTAAAATATGTCTTCTTGGTCTATTACAGTATTCATACAAATCCTGTTGCCCTAAATAAACAAAAGTCATTAAAGCTTTTAACTGTTGCTCTGAAAGTAGTCTTTTTAAATCATTTAAAAATTTTGGCTGATTTTTCATTTCGAATTGGCGCATTTTCCAAAATAAAAATCCATCTATTTTTCAAGAATTTTTTTATGTTCCATAACCCTTCCCTAATTTTTGGGCCCGATCATTTCAGCCGTTTTTACGCTTATCGGTTACAAACAAACAAAACAGACAAGCTAAGTATATATATATAAGATAACAAGAATTCTCAACTAAACTCCAGCATTTAAAATCATATTCTTGTATTCTCTAATAATAATGATAAAAATAAACAGTCAACTATACTTCCGTGTATACTGTTTAACGAGGCCAAGCCCCCATTAAAAAATAACCGCCAAGAATGGAATTAATTAATGCAAAAAATGATTTAGAAGACCCATGGTAAAATAGGATCTTTTAGGAAACATCTGAAAAAATGTAGCTTTTGTTTCTTTTTAAATCTACCGGAGGATAAGTTCTGACCTAGTATCTAAATTGGGTGACATGGAAACGCCTCGACACGGAAACGACTCAACACGGAAATGCCTCAAAAAAACAGAATCATAAAACTAATTTAATGTCGTCTTCTCTCAACTCAAAATTAAAAAGTCTATATTCTACTGATTTTCTCAGCCATGGCCGCAGCGCTGGGCCTCCTAGCCTGCTCTAGCCGTAGCGCACGGCCCCCTAGCCTGTCCTAGTCTCAGCGCTCGGCCCCCTTATAGCCATCCTAGCCGCAGCGCTCGGCCCCCTTTGTAGCCTGCGGCGCAACCTAACTTACCCTAAATTAATGGTTAAATAATTGTAAAATTTTTTTTAATGAGAGAAGACGACATTAAATTAGTTTTATGAGTCCGTTTTTTTGAGACATTTCCGTGTTGAGGCGTTTCCGTGTTGAGGCGTTTCCATGTCACCTATTTTAAAGAATACCCTCATAATAAATAATCATTTAAAAGTTTTTACCCTCTGCTGTATTGAACTCCATAAACTTTTCCTTCTCTAGCGAGTCTGAGGTGAAATGCGCCAAAAGTTCAAAGAAATATCGCCGAGGTATACTCTGTATATCAAAGTAGCTTCGCACAGCCTAAAAATAAATATGGACCGATTTGTCTCAAATTTTGATTGGTGACTCGGGAGACCCACGGGATTGTTCTTAGCTTGGTTTTGAGATTCTAAGTTGAGTGGGTCGACTTTTAACGGGAAAAATATGTAAAATCGTTATTTACGAAAACGGTGGGACTAACTTTGACTGGGCAAGCTTCCAAACTGAACAAAAAAATGCTAACTAAATAAAATCTAATAATCTGTGGAATTGGGAGAATTTTACAGATTACTAAATTTTTTATTATCAAATTTTGGGTGGAAAGTATTAAAAAGACTAGTTAAAATCAATCGTGCAAAGAAATAAAAAAATGGGTAAAGACGTGGTGACTCCTCAGGTTGCACGAATGCCGCGCTATTATCATCTCATTTTGGATTGTAGAATTGTGCACTTCTATACAAATGTCCTGAAACTGGTAGTAAAGTCGTCGCAATAAAGAAGTTCTTTTAGATATACAAAATACATGGTGAATGGTGATTGTAATCAATATATATTTGTTTAATAATTGTCGAATTTTGCATCCATGTTTTTTGCAAAAGTCTATTTTTCATGAAAAGTGGGTCAGTTTGAAAAATATTACGCTTCTGGGTTGCCCCTTGAATAATAAATAAATAACCAATAGGATGAAAGGATATAAGGATGAATGAACGGATATATGGATGAATGAAAGGATGAAAGGAACGAAGGATGGATGAATACCTGTAGAATAGAGCAGGGTCTAGGAAGAACAGAAGCAGGAGGAATTGAAGAAGAAGAATCCTGGTTTTTCAGATAAAACAGGCGTTCTTTATCTAAATACATAGGATACGAGTGCTAGGTTTAAAAAAAGGCTTTTCCCAATCTAAAGTCTAGAGCTTGAAATCCAGCTTTGTCTAAAAACTAAACTTTCTCTTAATATTCAACCAACTCAACTTAGACATTTTTAACAAGCTAAGAACATTCCCCTGGTTCTAACGAGTTCCTCAGTCAGAATTTTAGACAAAACAGTCAAGGGATTCCAAAGTTAGGATCAGACATACAAACAAACAAAGATTACTACTTTATACATATCTATACATATCCAGACACAGTGTTTCGCCTTATTAAGGCCCATCAGTCATCCATTCGTCAGATTTTTGATATAGCAGTTGGCGGGGCTTAGTAGTGTTAATGTTTGTTTGACTTTGACTGATTTACCTAAAATTTATTTTCCTTAATTCAGCAAATATAACCCTTTAAAATAGTTAACAGCAATGAAACAAATATGATCTGAGAAAGTTAAACCCCTGATATCATTAATTGTTCCCAATAATAAAGTCAAACCTAGGTCAGGGAAAAGAGAGAAGAAGAATTCAACATTGTCCTCCAGATTCTCAGGTTGAACCAGAGCTATATCTCCAGGATTATACTGGATACCAGACCCAGATATATCCAGACTTAGCAGTCTACAATACAATCAATTAATCCATCAATCAACCAATTTAGTCAATCAAAGCTTTAGTTCCAGATATATCCCGGCTTAGCAGTCTAGAACACAATCAATCAATCAATCAATCAATCAATGCTACATCTCCGGGATTATTGAATATCAAACCCAGATATATCGAGGCGTAGCAGTCTACAATACAATCAATACAATCAAACAATCTATCGCTCATTTAGAGGGCTGGAGGGGGGGGGGGATGAAGTAAATGTTTATCCCTTTGTTTTTCATATGTTGTAATAACAATGCATTTTTGTATTATGTAAAACATATAGCTGGTAAAAGAGATACAGAGCTCTCTAATATGCAAGCGTACTAAATTATTTCAAAAGATTCCTTCTTCTAAAACTGCTTCACAGTAAATAACGTAAATGTGTATCCCTTTGTTTTTCATGTGTTGTAATGACATAAAAGTATTTATAATGTATATATCATATTTTAAAAGAATACAAGGGACAAATAAATATGCTAGCTTCCGTCCAATATCCATATTTGTTAAGTCTCAATTCAGGGGTGTATAAAATTCTTCCCCCCGGAGGGAAAAAGAAATAAAAGACTCAAGAGGAGGGGAAGAGAAGGGAAAAGGGAAGGAAAAAGGGAAGGAAAAGGGAAAAAAAGGGAAGGAAAAGGGAAAAGAAAAGGGGAAAGACAAATGGGGAAAAAAGGGATGTGGAAAATTAAAGGGAAAGGGGAAGAAAAAAGTAAAAAGGAAAAGAGTAAGGGTAACAGCGGAAAAAAGGAAGGGGGAAGAGAGGAAGTAGATAAGTAGTGAAGGAGATAGGTAGGGAAGGAGATAGATAGGGAAGGAGATAGACAGGGAAAGAGATAGGTAAAGAAGATGAAAAGTAGGAACGGGGAAGGTTGGGAGAGAAAGGGGAAGATTGAGAGGGAAAGGGGAAGGTTTGAGGGAATAAGGAAGGTTTTGAGAGAAAAATGAATATAGGGAACTACGGAAGGGACAGGGAAGGGAAGTAGAAGGGGAAGGTAAGGTAGATAGGGAAGGTGAACGAGGGGAAGGGGAAGGTAGACAATCCATTGAAGGTTGGCCGATAAAGAAGTGAAAGGAAGGACTGGAGCTTTTTACCTCTACATAACTACATACTTATCTAAAATCGGAGAGTTTTTCATGAATAATTTTCCCCAATAGTTATAATGCAGCAAAAAAAAACACGTTTTAAGATTAGATTAAAACTGAAGCTACCTGACATTTGAAAATGGTTGAAACTGAAGCTGTCTGACATCTTGAAAATGGTTGAAACTGAAGCTACCCGACATCTTGAAAAAGGTTGAAACTGAAGCTACTTGACATCTTGAAAATGGTTGAAACTGAAGCTACCTGACATCTTGAAAATGGTCGAAACTGAAGCTACCTGACATCTTGAAAATGGTTGAAACTGAAGCTACCTGACATTTTGAAAATGGTTGAAACTGAAGCTACCTGACATCTTGAAAATGGTTGTCTGGAGTGACCCTGTCACAGCTGACAACTGGAGATTTGAACGGGTTCTGTTGGGAGTACAAAATACATCCATTCTCTGCCCTAGAAATCTATTTGTAAGGGAATAGTAAAATAACTTCCATTGAAAGAGAAATCCTTTAATCCTTTAATTCAGTTACAATGAGAACACAAAACAAGAAAGAAAAGGATACACGGAAGATTAGACAGAGGAAAACAAAATCAATTCTTAAAAATAAAAATTTTCTTATTTTTCTTTCTTTTTACTTGTTATGACTGACTGAGAAAAGGACAAAAGAATATAACTCAATTATGTTTGAAAATCCAGCTTTCTACCAGTCATTGGCAAATCAACGCTACATGCGATTGACAAAAATCATATAATTTAACCAAACCTAATAGTTAAGCCTAAGGAAAAACCGGAAGCAAGATCAGCCCACGTAAAATAAGTGTCCACTATGGTTTATAGGGTTACCCATGGTCAAGTTTTTAAGACAACGGCGCAATACAAAACTTTTAACCGATCTTGAGCTAAACAAAATTATAGAAAAACCTTGATAATAAATTGGAAATAGATTTATTGATATATCGTTTTATTTGTATGCGTGATCTTGTGCCCACACCCCTTAACCAAAATAAATTATATAAGTTATTAAAGCTAACAACAAAGCTCACCTTGAAGTTACATTTGTCTTCTCATCTTCTTTTTCTATAAATTCATCTTTTAATTCATGGTTTAGTTCATCCAGCCAGAGAACTTTATATTTGGGTTGCGGCAGCAAATCTTTACTAGAGAAAAACACTATTATCAACGATGCTAAAAAATAATCCTTTTTTTCAATAAAAAAAAGTTCGGAACTTTTGACAAATCTACAACACCTGAGGCAAATTTTTAAAAATTTAAGCCGCGGCTCTAACATGGTTGGTTCCACTTGAAAATGTATTCAGTGTTTCGAGATTTAAGCTGGCGCTCAATCGGAACCGTTTTTTTTGCGGATTAACGATACGGTTTAAATTTTTTAATTCGGCTTTTAAACAATGAAAACTTTTAATTTCAAGAGATAAATTGCGTGATCTGTGAAGAATAAAAATGACAAGAATGTTCAAATGGTATAAGTTAAATACTAATTTTTAAAAATAAATTTTGAGGGAAGTTGTAATAAAATATGTTTTCATACCTAATTGGTTTGATTCCAGGTGGGAGAGGAAAGGCTTGAAGAGCAACCTGCCAAAGTTGATCAAGCCATGCGTCGACAACATAATCAGAACCAAGATCATGTTGATCGTCTCCTAAACCTAGAAACAAACAAAGTATATTTTTGGTCGACTTTTCTAAAAAGAAATAAACGATATGCACAATTATCAATCGATCAGAAATTTAAGACAAGACATTCGTATATATATATATATATGTTGCATATAGCCGGCCAAACGGCGGAACCGATTGGGCTGAAAATTTTTAGGGACACACATTAGTGGCCCCCCGGTGTCATAGGATAAAAAAATTCGAAATTTTTCTTTCAAATTTTTCTATTTAAAAAAAATATTTCAATTTTTCTTTTTTCCACGGTCAACGCCGGGCACTTCAGCTAGTTTAAAATATTTCACGGTTTCTGTGTACACAGTACTTGACTGGTTTTCTAGAAATCATTGACCGAATAAATATCTAAATCCTAATTTATCTTTTAATTTCCAAAAAAGTACAAGCAATCTCTTGCAGTTAAAATTTGAATTTATGTGATGTTCAAGTTCATGTGATGTTCAAGTTCATGTGATGTTCAAGTTCATGTGATGTTCAAGTTCATGTGATGTTCATGTTCATGTGATGTTCAAGTTCATGTGATGTTCAAGTTCATGTGATGTTCAAGTTCATGTGATGTTCAAGTTCATGTGATGTTCAAGTTCATGTGATGTTCAAGTTCATGTGATGTTCAAGATGTTCAAGTTCATGTGATGTTCAAGTTCATGTGATGTTCAAGTTCATGTGATGTTCAAGTTCATGTGATGTTAAAGTTCATGTGATGTTCTCAAAAATGTTCCGAATTTCTAAGATTTTAATGACGCATCATACAACAATTAAGTTTGATTTATTAGTAAAAAACTGACAATTTATTCATGTAAAATCCATTAAATTGTTTATGGATTCAAATGTTACCATGAGTGAATCAGTATTTAGGGAAAATGTTATCAGTCCAAAGAGAGAGAAAGAAACAGTTTGTAATGGGACAAGTTTAATTGACATAAATAAACTTTTTTTTATCGAATATTAAAATAAATAATCTCTATTTATATTTCGCTTCTCTGTTATATTGTAGGCAATAAACGTAAATTTAGTGTGGGACCTCACATGATCCCAGAGAAAGTAAGAAAATTTGCCGTAACAAAATTTCGATTTTTTAAATACACGAAAAACGATAATAGAGCAAACAATTAAAAGTTAAAATCTAAGATGGACGCGAAGAGCAAGCCTAGTTAATTTACAAAGAAATTACTCACCAACATTAAGAAGTTGAATTCCTCCAAGCTGAATTAACCTTTTATTTAACTTCTTCGCAACAAGATTAAACTTTGGATAGCTCGAGTCACCCAAACCTAAGGGAGAACAGGGTTAAGGGACTTCAGACCAAGGTTATAATGCAAGGAAAGTTATTTCAGAGGTGTACGCATCTTTTGTACTGCAGTGTACTGTCTCTGGGCAGTAATGTAAACGGAGCCCGCGATTTAAAAGCTTCGGCTCGAGTCTTAATTCCTTAAACGCAGCTTTAAGACCCAATCTTAGACCCAACTCTGACGACAGCTTGTGTCACGTGATTGACAGCTGCAAGATCTTAGGCTCGACTTGAGGAGTTAGGCCCAATGAAAATAAAACCGACCTTGGTTGGTTTTAGTGGAGAATAAGGCTCAATGTTGGGTCTTATTCTCATTAAAACTCGGAATGCACCAATTCCAACTATGAAAATCCGCCAAATACAACATTAAACCGGTTTTATGAACTAAATTCTGTTGAAAAATAGATCCAACTTAAATTCGAAAGCCCGAGCCGTAAATAAGGCTCAACAACAGCTTAGACCCGAGTCGTATTTTCTTAAATTTTTTAAATCGCCGGCTCAGATGTCACAGCCTGAAATGGGATCCATCTTTAACATAAAAAATCAATGAAATATTCTGGCAAAAGGACACTATTATGTGAATTATCAAAATTAAATGCTTTTAACCTCCACTCCAAGGATACTAAACAAACACTGATGTTTCTTGTTTACAAATTCCGCCCAGAGAGAACGCAGAGATACGAAACTCCAATTAACTTTCCTTACATTATAACCTTGCTTTAGAAGTAATTTCAAATCACCCTTCATTAATTTTAACAGATTCCGATTTACAACAATGTCCTTAAATGCTCTGTAAATATTATTATGATGTCATCTTTATAAAAATTACTTGCGGAATTCTGCTGCAGAAAGAACTGAACAGTAAAGACTATTATTGATTATTGATCAGAAGACGGTTTAAAGGATACCGTTGTGATTCGGACATGCTTTTTTTAAAAAAAATGGACAGTACTTGAGATTACAACGACAGTTGATTTAAGACAAATAATAAAAGTAATTTAACCTGTGTTTATTTATTTTCATATTTTTATAAATAAAATACCTTAGATTAAGTTTGTTTGTTTTTTCAAAATTTTGTACGAAACTACATAATTGTTTTTTTATACTTTAACTGGCAAGGTTTTACTGTGCTTTTAAACATGATTATTTCCCCCTTTAGGTGATGAAAACCCGAGAATAAAAATGCGCTAACACTCTTGGTATAATAAGTGGGGGAATACGTTGAAAAGGGACATTCGTAAGATTTTTCAAAAACATAATTTACCTAGAACTCCGAACATTTGATTAGATAAAGAGTCTGTTGGTAAATTCTTCCTTAGAAGCATTCGCCAGGACCTCTAGACAATATTTATTTAATTAAAGGGGGTGTACGCCAGGACCTCTAGACAATATTTATTTAATTAAAGGGACTGTACGCCAGGAACTCTAGACAATATTTATTTAAATAAAGGGACTGTACGCCAGGACCTCTAGATAATATTTATTTAATTAAATATTTGAAAAAAAAATCTCGAATTTGTTTAGCCTATAACACCCCCCGGCCACCCATGAGTGTCCACAAAAAATTTCAGCGCAATCGGTTCAGCCGTTTGGCCGGCTATAGATAACATATATATATATATATATACGAATGTCTTGTTTTATTATATAGATAATTCATCACGGTAGAGATAAAGAAATATTTTTATTTAACAAAAAATATTCTTAAGGTAAGGAAATAAGTAAAAATATAATAATTGAATTTATATTTTCATATTTTCAATAAACAAGCAAAAATAATATTTCGTCTAAATATATCTGAAAAATTTAAAGTTTTACAATAAAGTTTCATTTACATCTTTATTAAGGTTTAAAGACGTTAACAGGGTGGCCGGGGGGGGGGGGGGCTCATCACCCGTTGGGGCCTGAAAACCCCCTAAAATCAATAGATTTAACTGGTCCAAGGGGGGCTTAGCCCGATCCCAATGACTACGACTCTGAGGGAAGGACTACTCGACAAAAAGTAGATATCGAGAGAAAAAAAGCTACTTAATGAAAAGTAGCAAAATATGTACCTCGATGTTAATTATTATGAAAAATTAAAATCTTTAACCAACGTAACAAATTAACAACTAAAAAAGATAAAACTTGTCAATGTTTTTAAAACGTTCTCAAAACATGAAAACTAAAATAAGGTTGTGTTAGATAATTTTAAATTATCAAAAAATATAATTATTTACCTTCATATTATCCGGCTCTTCTCCTTGTCCTGAATAATAATATTATAAGAGAATGAAGCAAACAAGTGGAGTCAAAAAATAACAAACAAATTTAAGATGCTCTGGGAGAAAAATTAAGTAAAAACCCATTAACAGGCAAGTTTCTATTACTTCTTTTTCTTCCATTTAGATACTTGAACTCAAAAAATTGTTTCGTTACCAGTGCTTAGGATCCGGATCCGTTGGATCCGCAAGATTTTGGCTTCCTGGATCCGGATCCACAAAAATATGCGGATCCACATATCCGGATCCAAGGGGTAAACTATCAACCAAAACCTACAAAAAAAACCTTTTTTTGCTCCTAAAACCCAAATCTGAACTTTTGAAAAAAGAGAGATTGGTAAAAAAATTCAGTAAATCTTAAAGAAATGACCTGGATCCGGATTTGGATTCATTTTTTCCAGTGCGGATCCAGGATCCGGATCCGCATCAAAATTAAATGGATCCTAAGGACTGCTTTACATATCTAACATTTAGGTCACAGGATTTTTAAATATTTGGGGGGGGGGGGGGGGGGGGGTAATTTTCAAGAATATATACAGTGACTCCACCCCTGTACTAACCTGTAGTTGAAGTGACGTAAACAACTAATTGTTTTGTTGGAAGAAGATTTAAAGAAAATTCGTCAAAACTACAAACCTAGACAACAAATATATGGTAATTTCCTAGTAAAGGATGTTTAGACCGGCCCCCCTTTCATTTGTGTATAAAACATTTTAGGGCATATGTATTCAAAACGTTAGGACACCCCCCACCCTCTTCCTAAAAAAAGTACATGAAATATTTTTGATTATTATTATTATTTGTTCAGGGTGTTCATACACGAGATGTTCTCCAGCTCGCACAACACAGAAATTCTATTTTTAATCTACTAATCCTACAAATACATCGAATCTACTATTACTCTTAATGTCCAAATTGTTAAATAAATGTAAAAAAAACATTTAAAAGCTAGGCCCATTTTATATCTTGAATTTGAGTATGATTTTATGATTGAAAGAATGATGGAAAACTATTTAAAAGACTGTAAAATGAGCACACAGGGTTCACAGGGTTGGGTTTAGACAATTCCTGGGCCGAGCAACGCGGCACGGGGCCGGACACTGCGTCACAAGTCATACTTTCACCTTGAACATTATTTTTTATGTCAAAAGTAATTTCGCGCAAAATTGCCCTATTCCGTATTACTTCAGGGTTCTGAGCAAAGTGCTGCGGCTTAGACAGGCTAGAGAACAGAGCATTACAACTGGGATAGGCTGGGGGGGTCGGACGCTGCGGCCACATAAATCCTTACGTTAAATTTGAGATGCATGTAAAAATATTGAAAGGAGGGGGGGCCGGGAGGGGGGTCCAAAAATCGTTGTCTAGGAAAGAAATTACCGTAATTAATTATTTTAGATTAAAAATAAAAAAAATGTTTAACAAAAATTACCTCTTGTGCAGTCCCAGTCTGGCTTCCAAAAAGCACAAGAAGATCGCGAATCATCTTCTGTGATTGTGAGTCTGAGTCGAGAAAATACTGAATTTGTTTTCCAGAGTGATACAGCAAATTTCGAAAATAATATTGAAGATTGCGCAATTGCCGCAAAGGATTTAATTTTCTCCGACAGACTCATAGATTACCGTGCACCAAAGACGACTTTTAAACATATCAGTCATCTTGAGTAGTGTATTTTTCGACATACGCAAATCCGCTATACTCCACTTCTGACCTATGCCAAATCCGCTATACTACACATCCAACCTACTAGCACGTAATATAACAGCTGCTATATGGACTTGTGGCTGCAGCGCCCGGCCCCCAAGCCTATCCTAGCCGCGGTGCTCGGTCCAGAAATTGTCTTAACAGCTATAACCTAACCTTCAAATAATACTAAAATAAACAGCTGGCGTAGGTCCGATGTGCAGTAGGTCGGAAAGTTAGTAGGTCAGAAGTTCAGTAGGGGGATGTTGCGTTAGACGCGCGATGCATAACATTTCCGTCATCTTGGTGCATGCTAGGGAGTGAAGATAACGAATAACGATGGTGTATTTTTTGACCAATGCTTATCCTCTATATTGCCCCTCTTACCTACTCACACGTGGTTTTCAAGCCCATGAATTTTTGGCTGCTAAGGTCCTTTAAACTAAAGGTATAAGTTAAAATTCAAAAACTTTCTATCCGACCCAAATAGATTGTCAAGTATGTACATTATAGATGGCAACAGATGCGCACATGACGTCACAAGTGTCAAATGTAAAAAGAAAGACGACATGTCCTCTATAATGGGTTGATATGATTTCCAAGACCCAGCTGTGATAAATGTCGTCTTTGTAGGAATACGTAGAAAATATTTACAACTCAAAATTACATAGAGTATTTTTACTGTCGTTTTTGGTGGCTTAATCTTTTTTCCTCTGTAACTTTGTGAACTAAATAGTTTGACTGAAGTATACACATTATCTGCAGACACTTAATTGCAAAAGTAAAAAAGAAACGCGAAAAATACAAAAATATTTTAAATCATTTATTGAAAAATAAATTGACCTTTTGGATTGAAATTTCTTATCATACGTCTTTGGAAAACCCGGAATTTCACAAAAAGGTTAATAATGCCTGTGAGAACATCATGCATGATTTCAATTAGTCTCGTCAAATTTCAAAGAATTGCACATACACTATATTTTTCTTTTTGTTCATAGGTAATTTAAATCTGGATGTCCCGGGGGTGGACGGCACTCTGTAGGCATTAAACACTAGTTCTTCGCCTACCCTATATAAAAGAAATATAATTAATGAAAATCAAAAAATATCATTTAGTTCATAATAATGCAGTCCTCAACTTACTTCTTAATCTTGTCCATCCTTTAAAGTCCCCCCCCCCCACCTTGCTGTATTTTGAAAATTAAAAAATCTGCCATTTCTCTCACAAAACAAATTTGCAAACAAAATCAGACAGGCACCCATATTTGCCAAATTCAAATATGATTTACGTCTTGTCCCATTAAACACTTGGGGATTCAAAATTTATATGAGACCATGAGCCTACTTTAAAAAATGTAATAAAATTTGTCAATTTTTTGCTATGTATGAACAAATTAAACAAATATGTAAAAAAACAAAAATTGAAAAACCTGGGAAATCGATTTTTCGGCTCATACTTTATACTTAAAGGAGTGATTGTAATATAAAAAAGAATGCCTTGAAATAACTGAAAGAAAGAGCTTTCTAATGTTTACATAATTATGAAAAATTTAATCAAATTGTTGCCTCAATTACTGTACATTTTTAATTGGGATACCCTGTACCAACTCTTTCCTCCAAGAAAAAGTCGTCGCAGTGCCAAGCGCTGCGGCTAGGACAGACTTGGGAAATAGCAAACTAGGAAATTGCACATTTGGGAAGTTGCCACTTTTGAAAATACCAGCTTGAGAAGTTGCCATTAAGGAAAAAATGCATTGGGAAAGTATCTAGCATCTCTTCTCCCATGCTTCATTGAGGGCTGAACAAACATTTTGTACTATTTTGATTAGGCTTGGACAATGACATATAGCTCTCCTATGCATTCTTGGGATGGTGACGGGTCAAATTTCTCAGTTGGTTTGGAAGTTATGTTGGTTCTCCTGCAGTTGTTCACCAATTTTACAGAATTTTCAAGTTCTCTTTTTCTCCAATAGGCGTCTCTGAGGTTCCCTTCTATTATGCACTTTCCAAAAAAAAATTGAAAAATCTATTATAGTTTTTCATCTGTTCTTGATAATTCAGTTGTCTGAAAAAAACTAAACACAATTGACAACTTCAGTAAGATAAAAAAAAAACTCTAACATTCTGACTGGAGAAGTTGGTCATTCTTCCAAAAAGTTGAAGTTGCAATAAAGATAGTTATTAAGATATTCCTTACAGATTTAGCATTTTTTGCATTTATTTTGTTCTCTTGCTAGACATGCGAAAGTTTTGCTTTTTTAGTAAAATCTTGCTTTAATCTGTTCCACCAAAAAATGACAGTTCTTTTGCAAATTTTTTTAGCAAAACTTTAAAATTTTAAGAAAAAAAAATTCTAAAATTTTTAGGAAAACAAAACACGAAAACTTTGCGAAAACAAATTCTGAACAGAAATTATTAATAATGATTTGTTAAAACTTCTAATGTTGAACTCTATGAAGAACTTTTTTTCTAGAAATTCCCAAGAATTTCCCCAAATTTGGTCGCCATTTTCTCTAAATGACGAAAAAATTCATCAGAATTGGTTCTGATATATTCAAGGGAAATAATCACAAGAAAATATCCAGCCCAGGCTAGGGTTTCCATTCGCAAAACTTTTGCGCAATTTTTGCGGAACGAAACGCAAATTTTTTCTTTCTTTGCGCATCAGTTTTGCGCGAAAAAACAACAATTTGCGCAATCATTCGCAAAAGTAATTTCGCGCAAAATTGCCCTATTCCGCTTTTGCGAAACTCAAGTTTTGCGCAATTCCGCAATTTCGTAAAAATCAAACGGTTGGTGACGGTGTGTGTTTCTTAGAATTCAATTCTGGAAAAATCTTGTTTTGGAATGTCTTCCTATTTGTCACTTTTACATAATTGACCAATGACAATTAAGAAGAGTTCAAATCTCACAATTTTCTCGACAATTTAAGTTTTGGACATGCATATTTCCTAAAAGGTGATTCTTCAGGCATTATTTTATATGATCATGATCCTAGTTATTACCTTTCATAAAATATGCTGCCTCAATACTAAAGAGCTAACATAATTGCTTTTTGGCTTAAAAGATACTACCGAACCATCAATGTTCGTATTTAGTATATTTTTTAATTATTACGTTCCTCCGGACACCTTGCTAATGAAGCCTCAATATTATTAAGACGAACCATCAATGTTCGCATTTATTACATTTCTTAATTATTATGTTCCTTCGTATACTTCTTAATTATTGTGTTCCTTCTTTCACCTTGCTTATGAAGCCTCAATATTAACGAATTAACATATGTTCGCTTAAAATGTAGCCTCAATATTAACGAGGAACGGACAATGTTCCTCGTTATGAAGCTCACAATAATTTTCTTTAATGTAAAAATGGAAACTCGCCCCCGTGTATGTTTATGTGAAAGCATGCACACTGTTAATTGTAGCATTTTCCAATAAGAGATAACACACACTGTGTTTGTAGTATCTCCCAACATGAAAAAACGAAAATAAATGTATCTGTTAAAATTAAATTTCGAACTTATTGATTTATAATTGTATGTACATGAAAATATCGTAAGAAAGTTTTGTGTTAAATCCATATTAACAATCTTGTAAACTATAATGATACGTAAATAAATATCTAGATTTTAAAAAATATATTTGGTCACTTTTACATAATTGACCTATGACAGTTAAGAAGAGTTCAAATCTCACAATTTTCTCGACAATTTAAGTTTTGGACATGCATATTTCCTAAAAGGGGATTCTTCAGGCATTTGTTACTTTCTTGCATTATTTTATATGAGATGAAAAAGATTTCAGAAATTTGATTAAAAAAATTTAAGAATATAATTCATACTTGATTAGGCAAAGCTTTTAAGGGTTACTTGAAATTATTTAATAGGATTAAAATAAGTTTCACTCTCTCTAATTTCTTTTTTATTAATTTTGGTCCCTTAATTTAAACGTTTTGTAACTGGAAGTAACCAATAATCGTTATCATACTCGTATGTTAATATTTTTTTTTATGGTATGGAATAAATCTTCAGTTGTTTAATTCTAAGCTTAGAATATCAATTTTTGACAATTCGCCTAAAAAGTTACATTTTGCGTAAAACTTGCGGTTTTGCGCAAATCACGCAAAAAAAATTGCGCAAAACTAAAATTTCGTTTCATGCGCAACTTTCGCAAAAAATATTTCCGGTTTTGCGCAAATTGCGCAAAAAATATAGCGCAAAACCGCGCAAAACTCATTGCGTTTCATGCGCAAAAATAGCGCAAAAGTTCGCAAAAAAAAAATTTGCGCGAAAATAGCGCAAATTTTGCGCAAAAGATTTAGCCATTTCGTGGAAACCCTAGCCCAGGCCAAACCCCTGCTACTGTACGGTGTTCATCCTCGGAATATCGGAAGACTTAATTTCGCATACATTTTAAAAACAAAATTTTACATGAATTTTAAAAATTAAATTTTACATAAATATATATGGAGAATATTTCCCAGGAAATTCTCAAGAAAATCTCCAATTTTCTCAACATTTATACCGGATTTTCCTGTAAAAGAATCATGGGAATTTCTATGGATTTCAAAGAAAGATTCTTAAGAATTTCGGCGGATTTGCCTCAAAATGGACACCTGGGTCAGTGGGTCATAGTCAAAAGGTTTATGTTCAAAGGGGTGTTAGCAAGATAATAGCAAGATGGCAAGGCTTACTCTCCAACTTTAAAAGGAGTAATTTTTTGGCATGCTTTTTTATTTGAACATTTTTTAATCTAAACAAATATAAGAATTTGGTTTTTACATTTGATTTTATCGTCGTCTGCAATCAGTTTCCCAACAAGTTTTCATATTGGCCAGGACATCAGCATAAACTTCCCTAAATATTTTACATATTTTTTTCTTACTTTGAAAGATATCTTTAACCAAGAAATGAAATGGGAAACTACGTTATGCTTGATTAAAGAAAGATTTCTTAATTAATGAAAAGTGATTTTGATTTTGAATATTTTTCCAAATATAATTAATTTTTACTTGTCTGCATCTATGGCCCAGAGAAAATCCAAATGATTCCAAGAAGGATTTTCTACCATATGAGTCATCCCTGCGACAATATTAGGCAACTCAGATATAGTTCTAGCAACATCCTAGAAATCAGATATAGTTCTAGCAACATCCTAGAAATTAGATATAGTTCTAGCAACATCCTAGAAATTAGATATAGTTCTAGCAACATCCTAGAAATTAGATATAGTTCTAGCAACATCCTAGAAATTAGATATAGTTCTAGCAACATCCTAGAAATTAGAGATAGTTCTAGCAACATCCTAGAAATTAGAGATAGTTCTAGCAACATCCTAGAAATCAGACATAAAATTTATCAATCCTTAAAGAAAAATTATTCCTACACACACAAGTGAATTAGCCCTGCAGTTCTACATGATTCTGCACAATTTTGGAGTCACGGAAGTTCGTAGTAAGATTTTGACTCCACTGGAAACAACTTAACTGGAGGGAATTCATTTTCACTGGAGGGGTTTGAAAATATGCTTTTTACTATTTAAAACTTTACGCAGGGTGATTTACATTCCCCTGGAGGGGTTTAGATATTTTTCCAGGGGTTTATAATTCTACTGGAGGGATTCAGATATCCTTCCTGGGGGTTTATACTTCCACTGGA